TGTATTCCCCGCTTCTTCATCCTTTCCGCGTGTCTCTGTTTCAATACCCTTTGCTCTTCGTTTCATCAAGCTTCTCACCCGCATAGATTGATTCCATAGAAAAAGGATCAGAACCGTGATGATTCCCGCACATGCAGCAGCGAAATATGGGGTATTCGAAGATTTTTGCTCGTTGTTATCAAGCCCTACGCCCTGTGACCTCTTGAACACAACACTATTTGTTGTTGAGAAGGCATTGGTTGGACTGAGATGGCTCAAACTTGATGTATATTCCGCCAACGACTGCCCCGAAAACATTGATACCAAGATCTTGTCGACGTCAACTTCAGAGGGAATGGTACTCCATGTCGAGTCAAATAGGAATACTGGCACAAACACTATGTCAAAAGAATCTGCTGGCTTGTTTGTCTCGTCTCGAATACTTGCAAACGATTTTTTTGCAATTCCTATCCCCCCGTGTCTAAAAGTTTTCCCAAGTTGCTCAGTGATGAAGAATCTTGTATGGTCTTCTATACTTTGAAAATCGCCTATTCCCGGAGAAATTGCAGCCTTTATTCGATATGTGAGAATGAAGGACGGAGCGGAAATTGTCGACGAAGCTCCTATAAGAGAAAGCAAGGTATCGCTCGAAGAGTCTCGCAATGTAGTTATTGTTGGAGATGTATCGTATGCCCCAGCTTCCTCCTCCTGACTGGTTAAATGAGCTTGCTGATGTGACAGCCGGATTTGCTCCATTGGCATTTCGTAGTTCATTGTATCAAACGTCTCTAGTATTCTTTTGTACGATCCATAACTTCTTAGAGATGGTTTCTTGTCTTGATTTGCTAATGTTTGCTTTCCTTGTTGTGTTGTTCGGCCTCTCTTCCGTCCAATCTTCGAATGATTATTCTCCGCGCTTGAACATCTACAACATGGTAGATTGTGAGCCACCAGAAGTATACAAGCTACTACCCCAACAGCTTTGCTCATTTGTTGCTTGGTGTTGTTGGCCGTAGTTTTCTAGCTAGTGGTGACCTCCTTGCATCCGAAACTATTATTTCCCCCGTCACAAATCGAGAAAGCGTTGGCGCACTCAGTGTGCGCGCCTGTACATCCAACGCGCATTGGTACTATGTATCAATGTATTTTGTTTCAGGGTACGTACCGATGGAACCCTGAAACTATGTATTTTAAAAATGATGCTTGTACTCTACACGTATCAAAACTGTTACTTTTACAAGAGAAGGCCTCAGATTGATCTGTGGTCTATGTCCCTTCTCAGCACTCTTTTTTTGGTTGTAGCGATGCAAAATCACTAGGATTCCCTTCGTCTCCTGGTTCACGTCGTTTGTCACATGTGATTGCACATGAAATCGAATCATCCTTCCCCTTTTTGGATTTGATCCTCTTTCGTAATTCTCCCGGCGTACAGCTTTTCAATCATCGGAAAACTTGTGCATTCTAGGTCTAGAATACGCCGACCGCTTCTCGTGTAGAAAATCATCTGCTTCTGACCTTTCCCAAACGTCGTTCGAGTTTTCGAAAGGATTTGAATTATCCCCTTGCAAGCTCAAAACCGAAGAGTCAGTCTTGAGATCTTTGAAATCTCCTTGGATGCTTGAGCAGACTGTTCGTGAGTCCTTTGAAACCATTTCGAGAAATTGTTTCGATGCTTGTCGTCTTGCGCTCTTTCGACGATGATACCGTATGAATCCAAAACCCCCAAGAATCGATACAACTGCTGCACTTCCAGACAAAAGAATGGAAATTAGTGATCGCTGGCTTCGACTCTCGAGCTGCGAAATTAAGAAAACTTGAATCGACCCTGCAAATGTATTTGAGTTGGGCAATGATTGAACTCTTTCGATATACTCATCCAACTCTTCTCCTGTAAATGCATTTACAACTTCTTCAGTGAGATCATCCACAGGAATTATCGTTGGTGAACTAGGGTTGTAGAATGCAGTCGATTCGAAAGAGACATTGATCACAAGTGCGCCACTATCTGTTTGATCATCTGTATAGGTCGTAAAGAAATCATCCAAGAGTGCGTCAGCATCATCGATGGCTCCAAACATATGATCCCGTAAGTATGCTCTTGTAAGAGCCTCCAGCTCAACAAGGTCAGTTTCTGTAGGATCTTCAAAATCAAAGAGTTGATACTCAATAGTAAAAATTGGAAGTCTCTGAGCATCCCTGCGAATCGTCGGCACTGCAGTTTCAAACGGTGGAGTCGTCGACGGTCCTATGCTAGGATCACTTGATGGAATCAGCGACGGTGCCATGGAAGGTATGCTTGATGGGCCTTCTGACCGCGTCACTGTGGGTGCCGCTGTAGGACTGACAGAATCTGACGGATTACCACTCACTACCATCGAGGGAAGAGCAGAGGGAGCCAGAGACGGTGACAGTGATAGAGTGGGTTGATCACTGTCAATTGCCGAAGGAGAAAAGGACGGACCAATACTCGGGCTTCCAGATGGAGCCATTGAGGGTGTTATTGATGGTGTGGCACTAGGTTTTGTTGATGGGGCAGTACTTGGACTTGTGGTTGGACCCTGTGATGGAATGGTGGATGCTGAAGGCCCATTACTTGCCAACGCTGAAGGCGCACTCGAAGGACTGGGAGATGGAACAGGAGACAGAGTTGGACTATCGCTAGCAATCGCCGACGGATTCGCTGATGGGTTGTGAGATGGGGCCACAATCGTTGGGCTCTCACTTGAAAGAGATGTGGGGTTTTGAGATGGCGTTGCGGTTGGTCTCGTTGACGGCCGAATAGTTGGCTCGGACGTCGGAGAACGTGTCGGCTGTCGAGTCGGGCTCTTTGTTGGAAGTTTTGTTGGCAGTCGAGATGGACTCGGAGTTTTTGGGAACGGTGATGGTCGAGGTGTTTCTAGAGCCGACAAAATCTGCTTTAGCGTGAAACAAAGCAATGTACGTGACACCGACCATGGAAACTTACCATCTTGGCTGTCACTTTGATCTGGTTTATTTGGAAATAGCACCTGTATTTGGATGTCTTTAATGTACGTACAAAAGAAATTGAGACATCTCGTCGGCATCAATTGTGAATACCCGTTCGCTGAAACACCTACCGTAACTCTCTGATCGAGATGAAGAATCGGACGACTGCGTTTTTGTTGAATGTGAATAAAATCCCCTGTACCAGACGTTGCTTCTCTTTGACCCTTTCCCCTTTCCTGATGAACTCAGTTGCCGTTTTCGTGACTGTCTTTTCGATTGATAATCTATAGTAGTGCCGCGTCTTGTATTGTCGAGTTGTATTATCTGCCCGGAAACTAGCGATAGGTGTATTATCATCCATAATAACGAGGTGGAGGACTGTCTACAACGCGCCATTGTGTTCTTAGAGTATGATTTGCTGATACCTCTGACCAGGAACTATTGATTGCAACGACTTGGTTGATTGATTCTTCCTTTCGATGAACTTGGCTCGAGGTTCGAGGGTTGTCCATCCGTTTGCAACTTCCGTTGAGTTTCTTGCTATTTTGTGAGTAGATTGATGTTTCATTCACGAGTGAATCGAAGATAGGCGGGACTGAATTTTAAATATTTTAATATTGATGCTCCATTATTTTATTTTTATTCTTGCTGTGTTTGATCTCTCAACACGAGCACAGTGTCGCAGCAAAACCATTCCAGCAGTCTGTAGGGAGAAGACCCGCGGTGAAAATTTGGAGAGGCGCTGATCACAATTTAGATGGTGACCTCTCATCAGAAGAAATCCTTTTGATCAAAAAGTCACTCGTTCATGGGATCCCTTTCAATGACCTCCAAGAAGTTCTTTTTGATGAACTAGTGTCGTCATGTCAGCGTGTTCAATTTGAAAAAAACAGTATCATCTTCGAAGAGGGAGACACAGAAACAGACTTCCTGATTGTCATAAAGCAAGGAAAGTGTAAGTTTTTTATTGAAGGCCAGCCATTGCCTGACCCGTATGGAACAGCTGGGAGAGGTAGCGTTATTGGTGAACTCGCATTGTTGTACGGCAGGCAAAGGTCAGCCACTGTTGTCGCAGCAACGCCAATCTCTGCTTTCCGACTGGATCGTGATTCTTTCGTGAAATTCATGGCTTATGTTGCACCTTAAGATGAGGAGCTCCTGAAAGAAGAACTCTCAGAGGTTGACAGGGTCATCGACAAGGTATCTGGGGTCAAGAAACGCTATGATGGCGACATTGTTCGACGATTCGTGCCAATGCGGGGTTGGCTCTGGTCGAGATGGAAAGGTACCATCCCTCAACAGGTATGGAAGACTGTCATTGTGAATCTTTTCGTGTCAGTGGGGGTTTCCACCTTGATCCGCAATTATTCGCAGCCAACATGGGCCATCGGGATGTTGCCTGACTCGCAAAATCACATTATATCACGGCTTGTTGGGCTCAAAATGGTATGGAAGTACCTGATGACCATCACAACATTCATTTTGACGTTCTTCTTGAGTCAGGCATACTCGTTGTGGAGAGACTTTTACTCACTAACCCGAAAGATTCAAGGTCGAATGAATGATCTTGGGTTGTTGATTGCAGCAGCCGCGAAACGTGACAAGAATGGAATGTATACAGAAGAAGGCAAACGTCTCATTGATGATACTAGTGCGTATATGAGGCTATTTCACATCTTGATGTGGGCAACCTTCTCAAAACGCTTGGACGTCCTCCTCAGTGATACTGGTTTGCGGAGAATGATTAGCCGAGGTCTCTTGAGTCAAAAAGAATATGAAACCTTGCGATTGCTACCTACAGAAGTTGGTTACCCAAACGCATGCGTGATTTGGATTTTGGCAAGATGTATACAGGCAATGGACGACGGGTCGCTTACAAATGACCCCGTTCTGCGAGAACAAATTTATATTAAGGTCCTTGAACTCCGTTCCACATGTGCAAGCATTCCAGATCTTCTCGCTGCAGTGATCCCGCTTGCGTACGCTCATATAGTGCAAATCCTGGTTGATATCTTTATCTCCCTCTCTCCTTTTGCCTTGTACAGCGAAGTGGGGGTTTGGAGCACACCTGCAGTTGCTTTACTGACGATTTTCTACAGTGGGGTAAGTGCGAACCCCTCTTTCTGTTTGAAAAGCCGGTTATAAAACAACAGTTCTCTCACAATTTTTCCCTCTTTCAGCTCTTGGATTTATCAAAACTTTTGCTTGATCCGCTTGACAACAATGGTTTCTACAATGATAGTGTGAACATGGACATCCCAGTGCTCATTCGAGAATCCAATTCTGGTTCGACAAGGTGGAGTCAAGGAGCAAAGTACCTCCTCTTCTGATGGCGTCGAGTATAACAGCAACTTCGCCAGTACAGAAAAAAGTTTCAATTCTCAATCGCTTAAGATTTGATCTTCGAAAGCAGAGCAGCTATTAGATATATAGAAAGCGAACGAAGAGTAGGGCGTCGCCCTCAAAATTATCCAAGCATAACCCAAAATTGTTGCGTTCCATGACCGAAATTTTGGAAAGACACAGGACCACCAGAAGCCAGGAAATGAAAAGTTTCAAACAACTTTGCTGACTCAAAGTGTTTCCACGTCGAAGTGATCCTTGTTGTTGCAACTTGTTGAAAGATTTATAAAAGCTTCGAAATCTCTGGCTGTGAGACCACATGTCCGCAGAAATCAAAACCAGAAATATGTTAATTGAACTAACATGCATGAAACGGGGGAACTGGTTCATCTGCGATGAAATCACATGACTGAAAGTAACGTAACCAACGATTGGGGTCTGTTTATATTGGTGGCTAGACACTGCCCTCACAGTCTCTCGTCCGGTGTGGCATAGTGGTATTACTGTTTTTAGTACTGTGTACCTGGTACAGAGAAAGCGTTTAGTTGAACTTTTTCGATATTTTAATAGTAGTCTATATAATGTTTCTTTCATTGTCTTACAATACTCAGCAACTCTTCCTGTTGATTAAGACCGGCAGGGTGACTGAAAGCAGTGAGCAGTCGAATCCTAAGAACGGGGTTGATTCGTGACGACTGTAGAGCAATAATCATGGCAAGAGTGAAGTTGAGACTCCTTGTGCTTTTATTACGGATTTCATTATCCTCCTCCTTTCACTCCAATGCTTTCCGATTGATGACAAAGACGCCGACTCTGAGTGCAAAGAAGAAAAGCGATGATCTAGCACCCAGCGAAAGTAAATTTTTTTTTGCGTCTGAAGCCAATAATTCAACTGCTACAAAAGGCATTGTTGTTGGAGGTGGAACACTTGCAGCCGCAAGAACTGCGTCTTTAGTAGCTGCAACGGGTGCCACAAGTTCTACAATCGGAACGACAGTGTCCGGATCAACAACCACAGCCGCAGTTGCAGCTGCACGAACTGCATCTGTGGCAGGAGGTCTAGCTGCAACGGGCGCCACAACAGCTGCATCCACGTCTTCCACGACGGCAGGAACAATTGCAGCTGCAAGAACTGCAACCGTAGCAGGTAGTCTAGCTGCAACCGGTGCCACAACAGCTGTATCCACATCTTCCACAACAGGAGCCGGTGGGTCTATTGCTGCTGTACGAAGTGCATCACTAGCAGGTAGTTTGGCTGCAACAGGTACCACGAGAACGGGCACAACAATTGCAACGACTGCTGCAGCAGCTTCGAGGGTCACAAGTGGTGCCGCAACATCAGCAGCGGGTGCATCTGGTGCGTCGAAGGTAGCACTTGGCCGTGGACTTGCTGGTACAGCTGCAATTGGCATAACCGATTCCATAGAATCGTCGGTCACAATTGGCGCTGCGAGTGAAGGAGGCGCAAGCCTCTTGTCGGCAGGAGAAACGGTATCCAGCGCATCAAGCGTTGCTGGTGACGCCCTTGTTGGCATGTCTGATAGTCTAGGGGTGGATACTATTCTTGGGGCTGGCGATACTCTTGCATCGGCTTCTGGCGCCGTTGCTGGTGGATTATCCGACATCATGTAAGTAACTTTATTCTACCATGCTAATCATCCAGGAGTCATCATTTGCATTTCTCACGCTTTACTGTTTGCTTCTTGCTTCTCTTCTTAACACTAAGGACTTTGGGTATTGGTGGGCTGACCGTTTCTAGCTTTATGAAGTTCTTTGTACAGGGAGGTGCTACAGCTCTACTCTCTGAAATCCTGTTTGTGACTGTCTGTGCATATTTAGTGTCTCAATCGAACAAGTCCGAAGATATGACTACTGGCGAGGCTTTCAAAACTAGCAACGAAAATCCGTTGATAGAACAGGCAGATTCTATCAACAGCAGTACTGATGCTGATGTTAAAACCATGGTTCCAAGTCCGGAAGCTGTCGTTCCAAACAACGCAGAGAACGAGACTTGAAAGATTCGACACATCGGGTAGTAGTCTTCTACATTCCGTCTTGCCAGCAGCACCCCGTGATTGCTGCACCCAATGCCTGTTGCTGGTCCATCATACTGAGATAGATTTGTTTTTCATCCTAGTTCGTCCCTCTTCTTGCACTTTCTCCTTTCCTACTTTTGCCAAGCTTTGGAATGGTTCATGTGAGAGTATGCCGTCCGCCGCCGTTCATTGGTTGTAATCCTACATGATCCAGCGACCAGGTTCCTGTAGTAAAAGAAGTTGCGTCACCATCATACTTTTCCGAACGTCTGTGATCAATAGTTCGCGATTGTCGCCGATAAAAGAGTCCAGCTGCGCCCATCAAAGTTATGCCAGTCACCCCGGCTGCCACACCAGCCATTGCATTTTGACCATTAGCACTAGTTTTGGTGCGAATACCGACTGATGCCACTGCACTCAACGATTGCCGCTCTTCCCGGACTGCGACCTGCGTTACGAAGGTTGTAGTAGAAAATATATTGCTCGGCGCTAGTGCTTGAAGCATTCCAAGATACCCGTCGAGACTACGACCTAGGAATGCTTGTCTCAGTTGAGAGTCGACCTCTTGAATCGATGGTAGGACGGAATCCGCATTTTCGAATACTGCAGAAGATCTATAGGCAATGTAGATTGGATCACCAAAATCGGACTGTGTATCGGTGAAAACAGTGATGAATTCCACCAGGGTGACGTTCATGTTGTCCATGTACATATTCTGAAAGTAGTCGACAAGATATGCTCTGGTCAATTCAACTACATCCAACAGTTCACTGCGAAATGGTATTCTGTCATCTTCTGAAACAGTGTATTCCAAAGCAAAAGGTGTTAGATGTGTGGAACCACTGGTGGTTGGACTGGACGTTGGATCCGTGGCGCCGTCATGTGTCGGCGAGAACGTCGGGGCTGCAGTAGTTGGATCCATTGGGTACAATGATGGTGATGGAGCTAGAGGCTCAGAAAAATTGTAGAGTCAGATATTGGCATGACCGTTTGGGACCTTGCCAAGCTTTCGCATCACTTACCTTGCCCTTTGCTAGAAGTACTCGATCGAGATTTCTTGCTCAATTTATATGATTTCTTGTAAGAGTCGAGGCTTTTGCTTTTCTTGGATTTCTTCGAAATTTTGTTATCTGAATCTACCGAATAGCCCCCTTTGCCACTCATCGAATCATCTTCACTTGAATCATCAGGAGATGGTTGTTGTTGCTGGTTTGGTTCAGGTGGCGACTGCTGATATCCATAAAAATCGGCCGCATCAGCATTCGAATTGCTTTTGCCTTTCTGTTTTGATGTAGCCTTTCCGCCTTTGCCCTTTATCGTTCCCAGTTTCCCGCTATTGCTCGTTTTCGCAAGGCCTCGATTGGCGCGCCTTGATACATTGCTGTTGTCACCTTTTCTCCCTACTACTAGATTTTTTGAGTGGGTCGCCGTCGTAAACTCTGGCCCATTTTTTGAGTGGGTCGCCGTCGTAAACTCTTGCCCATGCACACAAGTGCAAAGCAACATGGCTATCAGTATAAGGTGTATTCCTCTCATCGGATTCGGTTATCGATAGGAAGGAACTCTTCCTTGTCCTGATGCTTTCAAAGTTGATGGGGTTGCAATTTCTTGCATCCGTTGAATGAAAATCGGAAGGATTGTGAGAGTACTATAGGTGCGCGCAGTCTTGCAAATCGGTTAGTCGACAAAAAAATTCTAGTCGGCAAAAAATTCAAATTCAATCGAAACAATCGAATCAATCATCTTCACAGTAGCTTCCGGTACTGGTGCAGATCGCACTACCTTGAACCTAGTGTATACTAGGTAGCATCGCACCGGTAGCTTTATCAATTTATAGATTGCAAGAAGAAAACATGTGCTGCGGAATATGATGAGAATCTACAATTGTTATATTACATTTTTATTACTGTAGTCCTACATTTTCACTTCATATCGTTACATCGCTATGTTGGTAACCCCCCTAAGCAAATGTTGATGTTGCTTGGCCATTCTGTGGAGGCATAGGAACGGGATTTCCCTGATACGACGGCGGGGATGACGTATTACTAGTAGAACGCAGTTCTGTGTATCTTGCATTTGGTGGTGAGTCAGGGCTGTCATCGTTCTGTGATATATATCCCCAGAACACGGTTAGGAGAATCGGGGAAGAAGCTGTGAGGAGACCAATAATTAACCACATGGTTTGACTGTGCCTCTCTCCCTCTTCCGGACAATATCGTTCTAGCAAGTATCCACTTAGAAAGCCAACTGGTAATTTTGCCAAGAAAAGCGGTGCGCTGGATAGAGCCATGTATGTACCTAAAAACAATGTTGTTTGTGAGTGCAAACTGTGACGCACGCCCACATACAGTGCAGTACCATAACAATACCTACCTTCTCGTCCCTCTTCGCAGACGCTCATCGTATAGTCATACAATCGTGGGGACCAAATGGCTTCTCCAATCGACAAGATGGAAACAAACGCTATGCATGCACCAACAGAGTTTGAAATCACCAAGCAGAAAACACTCCCCGCTGAAATGTAGGTTCCATAATGTATCATTGTTAGGGGCGAAATCTCGGTTGTAGCTGCCGTAACAATTGGTACGAGAATGATGACCAGAGCTGGATTGATGGCATATATCGTGCCCTTGGGAACATCCTCGCCAAATTCTCGAAGCATGTACTTTGGTAGCTGGAATGAACGAATGAATGAACGAATGAATGGGAGCAATGGAATGTTGTTGGGGATGCTGATGAGTTGACTTGTTGCTTGCTTCACGAGATCTGCAATTCTCTCACTCGGAGGACCTACCGTTGCATCCAAGTGCCTAAAGATCATTCTGACATTCAGAGTAATCAAGCACACCACAAGGAACCTTCGAAACGAGGGTGCATGTATTGTTTCGTAAAGGACTTGTTTTAACGTGCCCCCCACCGGCTGAAACGACGATACTACATTCGAGTTATCAATAGGACTTGAGTTGCCTTGTTGCTCGACCTTGATTTCTCTCACTCGTAACGTCAGAATGCAAGCCAGCACGTTTGAGATTATTCCAGTGAGAATGATGGCTCGATAACTCGACAGGGACCAAGTAATGTCATTACCATCGTAGTCATTTTGATAACCATCACCCCCATTTGCATTTGCATTTGCGTTCGCATTTGCATCCGCATCGCCTTCTCCTCGATACCCAATGGTAAGAATATCTACTGCCGGTCCACTGAGCAAGGCAGCCACATTCATAATGACGTAGAATAGGCCAAAGGCAAATCCTTGAGAGGAAGACTTTGTGTATCGTCGAATGGCTGTCGCAAGGACAGGAATGCCCAAACAGTCTCCTAACGGCATTGTGACAAGTAAATGGAAGAGAAGGATGCTCTTCGAAGTAGTCCAAAAGATGCCAATGCGCGCAATTAGGGATATCAAAAATCCAATCCGCAGGGAATGTGCGACACCAATATTGTCAACCACCACGCCTGTGATGAGGCCAAATATCTGTTGAAGTAATGCAAGAATGATGAGAACCCATTATCAGGTATAGATTCGAAGATGCGAGGCGACATAACAATCCAAGAGGCCTACTGTATTATGATTATTATTATTCTTATTGAATAATAATAACAATAAATAATAGTATTTCTTACAGTGATCATTCCACCCCAAAGCCCATAGAATGTGCCTGCTTGAACATCCGAGAATCCAAAGTCTGATGAGAGAAATAAAGTGAAGATCATGGAAAAGCTAAAATAGGAGTAAGAATCAAGGAATTTCAGCCAGAAGGCAATATAGAGCTCGGGTGGGCTGCCTTTTAAACTGGAAAAGCCATTTCTGATTTTGAAATAGATGGAAGCGACATAGGATTCGAAGTTCATTGGTATTGATACGTGTACTGGTACGAGTATAGTATTAATATATCATGGACTCGTAATTATTGTTTGGAGTTTTGCATTTCGGATCCGTTAAAATGCGATCGTTGCCATTTTAACTTTTTTCCAGAAAATATTTCTGTGTGGGGATTTAAAACATAGTCCCCATTTTCGTTTTCCACCCTCCCTCTAACATCGTAGTTCGAAGTGACAAATTGAAAAATGCGTCACCAATATTCGGGCGAGGAAGGACAGCTTCCTGTTAAGAGAATGTGTCGTTCCGACATCAACGAGGACATACGTCATTTTGTTTCTTTGTATATTTGTTATTATTGCTCCTCAATTTCTGGACCACGTCAGAGTTGGCGACCACCAGCATCCCGCCAAAAGCCGTCGAATTCTGGAATCAACGATATGAAATACCACAATTGATGCAAGATTCATTCATTCATTCCTTGCTTCAGTCTGATCGAGAAACCTAAACCTTTGTACGAGTACCGCATTATTCATATCATAGCTAAGAACTCAACTCTTTATCGGCACAAACACAAACACAAACACAAACGCGAAGCAAAGCAAACAAAGCAAAGCAAAGCAAAGCAAAGCAATACAAGACAAGACAAAACACAACAATGATCTCGAAACAAAGTGCAATCTGCTCGACTGTCCTTTTGGCATCTCCCTCCGCTACTCTCTCGTTTTCGATTTCAGTTCCCAAAGCTCTCTTGGGATCGCCTGGAAAGGAACACCATGAACAAAGTAAACGAGCAATTATAGCATCTGGAACTGCAACCTCTCTGTCAGTAGTCATGGGAGGAGCCGAGACTCCATTGAGCGAAATCCCTCACAGCGTGTTTGGTTACGAAGACACAATTCTTGAAAACGTCAACGAACGAGCAATGTCGCTGCTTGGCCAGTTTCAAGAAGTCTCTGGTTTGGAGCAGCTCGTGCATTCTCAAGACAGTTTGGCTCAAGCAGCTTCGGTACTGTCAGCTACTGTTGATGTGGATGTCGATCTCGATGTCGATCTCGATCCTATGCAACAATTTGTGAATGGAGAGAATCCCATGGCTTCGGCTGCTTGGTCTGGTCCACCGGATGCTCAATGGATGGAACAGATGCAGACACAGACACAGACACAGACACAGACACATGCAGAGTCATATGCAAATACACAGGGAGTCATGCCAGACTCTATATACTCTTGGGACGATTACCAGACATTTGCTTCCACCATGCCAGATGCCAATGTTGATGTCAATGCCAATGTCGATTACATGCAACAGTCCTGGGAGGCGTCACCGCCATTGGAATCCCTCTTTGATCAGACTGTCTCCCAATTCATTGCAGATGCTGCCAACGCTGCTCCTGCTGCCAAGACTGCAGTAGCTCAAGCTGCCACCACTGCGGTACAGGCTGCTCCAGCGGCCAAACCTGCGGTAGTGGCACAAGCGACACAATCTGCCGCAAATGCTGCCCCAGCAGCCAAGACTGCTGTATCACAAGCAGCTTCTAATGCTGCTGGACTGGACAGTAGCAAGAAACTTATTGCGGAACTGGAAAAAACTGTTTCGTCCTTTGACACGTTGGCGTCAAAGTCAGCGAATAATCTTGAAGACCTTGCAAGACAACTTTCGGATCAACTCTACCAATCCTTTGCAACACCGCAAGGTGCCCAAGCAACACTCGCAGATGCTCCGAAATACATTGCCAAGAAAGGGGATGCCGTTGTTCAGGGAGCATTGGATGGAGCAGGTCGAATCTTTGAATCCAGTACTGGTCGGATTGTTGAAAAGGGAGCCGAAACCCTGCAAGCTGCCAAAGAAACTCCAATCAAAGCTATCATGTCTAATCTCTTGCATGTCATTGAGCAAATTGCAAGCATCATTCTCAAGACTATGGATGGTCTACTCCAGAAATTCTCTGGATACACATTCTCGGGACACATGGCGCATTTCAAGACATCCTTGACACAATTGGTGGCACAAACGACGGGGTCCATTGGTACGGCATCGAACAAGATTGGCCACCTCAGTATACAACAAATTGTCGAGTTCATGTTGAAGGAAGTCGTTTACTTTGTTCAAGCTCTTTCGGGTATCTTCCTATCCCTCATGGACGCATTGCTCAAGTCCTTCACTGGCAACACCTTGACCGGACACATTCATCAGCTGCAAGTCACTGTCAACACGGCTGTCACGGATACCGTACATCAAGTGACTTCTACGCTGCACGATCTGGGTCAACTCGATCTCGCTGATGCCGCTAAACTGTTGGTCTCGCTTGTAGCATTCATTGCCAAGCTTCTCTTTCAACTTTTTAGCGCATTCGTCATCGTTCTCAGTGGACAAGGAATTGATGACTGGACGATACAGGCCGCAGGAGCAATCAAGACTGAGTTGGCGGCCATGGCGACTTCTGCTGCACAAGCGGGAACCACCATTGCGGAATCAAGCATTAGCGAACTGGGGGCTCTGCTATTGCAACTTTTGGAAACTACATCGGTCGTATTGGTTGAAGGAATGCAGGCACTTCTCGAAAGTGTAGGGTTCTTGGTGCAAAGTGGTGGATCCTTTGCTGGAGCACTCGCGACGGATTCCTTTCAATCGGTGACAGATAGTGCCAGCTTTATGACTGCCAATCTGTAAGTTGAAAGGAAAGGAGAAATTGTAAATGGTCGAGGGTAAAGGGTACAGGATCGGCAGTAGGCAATCATACATACACACTTCCAATGTAGAACAGTTATAATATCATGTTTATAGTACCGGTATAAAATATATGAGTTGATTTCATTCCTATTCATGTTTAGAGTTTTGCGTAAGTTGAACAGAAGGAAACACTTTTGTTGTTATTCCGGCAGCGTCGTAACTGCCATCGGATATTGGATATTGAATATTGGGTTTTGGTACCGAAAAGTGGTACTTGCGTCACTCTTCGGCCCATCAAGACCTGAGGGTGATTGATTCACAGAACGGATAAACAAGCGACTTTATTTTTTTAAAACCATTAAACACTAAATGGTGTTGCTGACATGTAAATACTTGAAATGGCAACGATTCATTCCAATTACTCTTATACATGTGATGGGCCGACATGAGAATCCAGAAACAAGAGTTCCTTGTATGTAGCAATAGTCCAAAGTTCTCGCGGAACCACCGCTTCTGCTGCATCACAAAGCTTTCGGATTTCGATCATGGTTTCAAGGCGAAGAACTCGTGCTAGCTTTGCCTTGGAATAGGAGTCCTCTGCTTCCTCAATTTCATGTAGAGCTCGTTCCAAAATAGCAACTGAAGCCTCCAACTCATGGTCCTCTGCCTCAGCTGCATAAATGGACGGGATAACGTGCTGATTTATCATATCAATCATTACCCTTGCTTCCATTTCCACGATACCTGCGTAGTGGTCATGTAGTACGTTTTGGCGAGCATGCAACTCGTCAGCAGTCATAACACCCATGCTTTCAAAGAGCGCAATATTCTTTGCGGAAGTCAGTTGGGCAATGGCATCGCAGCCGGAATCGATACGCCAAACTCCATTATCAGTCAGCATTTGCTGGTTTGCAAGATCATATCCATTGCCATTGAAAATAACCTTCCAGTGCTCATTCAGGGCCTCTCTGGCAACGTCAACTGGGTCTGCTCCAGCATCAATCTTGTCAGCAAACTCACCGAATTTTTGGGCGCACATTATGTTCAACACTGTATTCACCATCGACACATTTTGTGATGATCCAACCGCGCGGAATTCAAAGCGTGCACCACCATATGGAAAAGGTGAAGTTCTGTTTCGGTCTTCTGCGGGAACAGTGAAAGGCTCAACCCCACTAATGCCTACATCAATGATCCTCTTTTGGGGAGTGTATTCTTTGGAGTCACCGTTCTTGAATGCTTCGAGGTAAGCGGTCATGTCATCACCCAAGTAAGTGGAGATAATTGCGGGTGGAGCCTCACAGGCACCGAGACGGAAGTCATTGCCGGGGGAAGAAATGGCCATTCGCATCAGATCTCCATGGGCATCTACGGCAGAAACGACGGCAGCCATAATGACTGGGAAAGCATTGATATTGTTGCACGCAGCGTTGATAGCCTTTGGGACGAAGAGTTGAACTTCTTCGAGGGTGGAGATGGACCAATTGTTGTGCTTTCCTGATCCATTGACACCATCGAAAGGCTTTTCCTGGAGGAGGGCAGCAAGTCCGTGCTTGGCGGCAACTTCTTCGATGATCTGCATGACAACCAAGTTTTGGTCAATTTGTGCAGAATTAATTCCGTATAGAGGCGCAAATTCATATTGGTTGGGTGCTGAAAGAAGAAAGGTGCCTTAGAAACAAGACCTCAATCGGATTGCAGTTGACGTCGATAGGTGAATGACTCCGACTTACCGACTTCTCTATGGCGAGTCTTGAGAGGAATTCCCATCTTCCAGCACTCCTCTTGAATCTCTTTCATGCACTCCAAAGCAGGAGTAGCGGTCGATAGCGGGGCCATATAATGGTCACACATCTCCTGATCGCGAGGTGCGAACTTCCCCATCACGGTACGTCCAGTGAATTGAAGATCGGGGCGACGGTAGAATTCTTCGCGGAAAATCAAGAACTGTACAAGGAAGAGTCAAGGTAAAGGTCAATGAATGAACCACGGCTATCGGTGCGACACATGCAACATATACAACATAAGACTTACAATCTCTTGTTCCAAACCAATATTAGCTTTCAATCCTCCACACTTCAAACCAAGATGCCCAAGGAGCCGTTGCCCTTGGGAACTCAAAGCATCGTTGGCCCTAAGTAGGGGACTCTTCTCATCCAATGCCATTCCGTAGTACGAAACGAATATAGCCGGAATAAACACGGTATCCCCCCGAAGAAAGATGGGGGAAGACGTATCAATGGCGAGGTAGCCGCCAGCAGTGTGGGTGGCACGAAGTCCACCATTGGGATAGGACGACCCATCGGTTTCTCCCTTGACAAGGTCACCACCGTCAAAGTCGTACTTCAATTCGTTTGTTTTGGGATCAAATTTAAACATCATATTCTGTACCTGTCCTGTTTGACCATGTCGAACACCGGATGATGCCAGCGGCTGAAACCAATGGCAGAAACTGTATGCTTCATTGTCAATCGCCCTGCCGGTGAAAGTTTTGTAGGCTGTGAGGACCATCATTCCAGTACTTGCATAAAGCGTGAGATGGATATATTTACCAATGTAGAACTGCCGCTGCGACAATATCGGCCTTTTTCCTGTCCTTAACCCAAGAAGGATCCTCCATCAACGACGCACTACCGCCACTTGCAACCAAATATTGTTGGGCAAGTTTTCCAGTAAACACGTGTTTGCCATACTGTTTGTAAACTGATTTTGCCGACGGGATTGAAGAGACTTCATTTTTTGTCTCAGCTCCGAGGTACTTGCTGATGCTCTTATTCGATGCACTGTTACGACGGGTGGTCCAGGAATACCTCATGGTTGCTTTTTGCTTTTCTGAAGTTCACGTGAAATCCTCTCCCCAAATAACCCCAAACTACATCTGAACATTGAACATACAGAATACATGGCAGTTAGACGCACCGTCTGCCTGGCCTGTGTTGCGTTTCGGCCAATAAAAGTGGACAATTTTGTCTGCTAGAAATATCAACGAGCGTGCAGAGCATTCTTTCGAGATCCAAAGTCACACTATTCACCAAATGGACATTCATTGAAATGACCCATGCCATCGAAAGTACAGTAGAGTCTAGAGTTGTGAAATAAAAGAGAGTATACCGGTACATACTGTATCTAAAGCAATAAATAGTAACAAACGGTCTATGCCTGCTCTGATGAGTATGCTCGTGTCAATCTCAAAAAGTCCGAGAAGATACCAGCTGCTGTGAGATCTGGACCGGCTGCAGCACCCTTGATAATCAATGGAGAAGCCGAGTAGCGATCCGTTTCGAATGCAACAAGATTCTCGATATTCTTTAACCTGAAAAGTGGATCTCTGTTATCAACGGCTTCGAGGAAACATCTACATTTTCCAGTCTCCTTGGTGATTTCAAATTTATAACGAAGCTCGCGGCCGTCTGCAGCCGCTTCCCTATACTTTTCAAGCATTTCTGCATCAATAGATTGCAAATCACCCGCCTTCAAATTATCATTTGAAGCCATCTCTTCCGTAATGAATGATTCCACTTCAACATCTTCCAATCCCACGTTGATTCCGAGTTGGCGTGCCAAAATGACAACCTTCCGTGCCATGTCAGAACCGGAAAGATCTTGTCGGATATCCTTCTCGGTAAACTCCTTCTCGACGGCTTGTGCCAACGCTTCTGAAAAGCTAGTTTCTTCGTCAAAGGTACTGAGGATGTAAGCCAAAGTACAACTCACGGATCCTCGGATTTTGTGTACTTTATCTCCTGTTTCAACCAAGTCACGAAGCGTTTCAATGACAGGGAGTGCTGATCCAACACTGCTGGAATACTGCCAATTTGAATTGCTTTCGCGTTGGGCTTCACAGACTCGCGAGTAACGATCCAAAGGCCCCGCAACAATTTGTCGGTTTGGACTGATGATGTCGATGCCAGATGACATCCAACGTTCGTAATACTTGGCCACTTTTTCGTTGTTGGTGCAATCAATCACGACACGATGTGGGTTCACATTGGCTTCAATTTCCTCGCTGATACGATCCAAGTCCGAAGTTGCTACCAAATCTCCATCTAGTAATCCATCCAATTGGTCGATCGGAAGCCCCTTGGCTGTCTCGGCGATGGCCATTTTCTTGCTATTAGCAGCAATCATGACTCGGGGACAAATGCCAAGTTCATCAATCAACGTGCGTCGTTGTGTCTTGAGTTGCTTGACGAAAGCCTTTCCGATAGATCCAGAGCTTCCAATCAAGGCAACACTAGCAGTTGTTTCGGAAAGTGTAAATGCCATATGGGCAGCTCGCAGGGCTCGCGTTGCGTCATCCTTGTCTACTACTACAGCAATTTGACGTTCCGACGATCCCTGTGCAATAAGTCGAATGTTGACATTTGCGCGAGCCATGGACGACATAAAGGTAGCCGAAATGCCTGAAGACGAATTCATTCCTTCACCAACAATTGCAACAATCGACATGCCCTTGTTGACAGAAAGCGATCCGACAGTGGAACGGGCAAGCTCCAATTCGAAGGAGGACCGAAGAGCTTCGATAGCTTTGTCTCCTTCATTTTCAGGTACAGCAACGCAAATAGATGACTCGCTGCTGGCTTGAGTAATGATGAGCACGTTAATGTTGTTATCCGCCATGGCCCCCATGAATCGCTCCGCAACCCTCGAGCCTCCAATGGCAGAAGCGCCCTCTAAAGTAACTAGTGCAACCTTATCCACTGACGTGATGCCTTTGATGGGAATGATACCCTAGAGAGGAACCGAATGAGCACATCGACACCACATCAACCACACCGAAACGCCAAGCTAAAAGTACCATTACGCACCTTCTTTGCCCTCCAGTTGACACTCTTTCCAGAAGAGGCCGTCTCTTTGAGTGTCAGACAACGGCCCTGTACAACAGTTCCTTCAAATGCAGGATTGAAAATATTACGAACGTAAACTGGGATGTTGTCGTCAATGCAAGGAACCATAGCAGACGGATCTGAATATTACAATTCAAGCAGGAAGAAGGATTAGGTATCAGACGATGTGATAAGATTTTCAACCACAAAATAAAACATAGCGGTGTCATGAACGTACGAAGAACCTGAGCTCCGAAATAGGCAAGTTCAAGAGCCTCGTCATACTTCAACGAGTCAATGGAAAATGCTTCTGGAACCCGACGTGGATCGGCAGTGTAGACCCCATTTGTATTCTTCCACATGGTGACTCGAGAAGCTCCTAAAATTTTTGCAAAAATGGTAGCAGAGTAATCCGATCCAGATCGCTTCAGTGTAGTGGGCACTCCATCGATTGTGGAGGCCACAAAGCCAGTGACGACCACAATCGGCGACACTCCAGCCTTGTAGTCACAGTCCAGCATGCCGCGTTCCATTCCAACTGTGTTCCACCATGTGGCTAGATTATTGGATGTTTCTTTCCATAAAGGCATGACACCAGCAGTTGAAGCGGCTCCTTTTTCGCCCAATCCCAAACTATCTGATTGCACCATTAGAATGGGTCTGGCATCAATCCATTCGCATGGAAGGTTTTTCGTTTGCAAATATGCATTCAGGGTTTGCGCGGACCAAATTTCTCCATATCCTGTAACCACCTCCATGGTGACAGATGGGACTGTATTGATCATACGCAAAGATTGGACTAGTAGCAAGATGTCGTTGGCATCATTTCGAATGTTCGCTTCAATTTTGGCCGTGATTTCAGGAGACGCCAGCTCTCGCAAGAGATCGATTTGCCCTTCCACGGCCTCATTCAGCACCGTCTTGGCCAATTTGAAATCCACAAGCGCAGAATCAACCACCTTGACAAGTTGATCTGTCATGCCTCCCCGAGCCGAGACGATTGCCATGGTTGGTACGGCACCGGAGCTGTTATCTTTTCCAGAAGCCTCTGAAGCCAAAAGATCACCAACAGTTTTGTAGAGTTCTGCTGTGGCAAGCGAAGCTCCTCCGAATTTGTGGACTTCCCAGCTGTGTTGAGATCCCCTGGGTGTCAGAATACTCTCTGTCAAGGTAGAAATATCTTCCCTTGGTGAGACCAGCACTGTCGAAAATCGAGCTGTGGTTGAAACTGATGGTGACACTGGTGTCAAAGAGGGCAGAAATGCATCAGTGATACTCCAAGACGCCAAGATGGCAAATAGGTGAATAGAGGCAACCGCCTTCATTGTTGTATTTTATCACTTCAACTGTCAAAATATTTTATCCAAAAGCCCAAAAACCATCACAGTTTCCCACCACGTACTTTTCAACGCTCTACGTACAGACCGACTTTTAAATTCAACATCTCAATCAACATTCACGCAAGATTGAATTTTTCATTCATGAATCGAATCGGGTGATGACAGACTTTGTCTTACTGTAAGTGAAAGCGTGACTGACTGACTCATGATGTGGTCGTAAAAAATAGAATACTCATTTTTTCCATTTTTTCGAATTCCGACATCTGTTCGATTAATTTTGATTGGATGATGTTCGAATTCTTTTTTTGGGGATTTGGAGAGTTGGAGATATAGTAACATACGTCTGTTTGAATTTGGTTTCGTAGTACTTTATTCTACGGGTGCGTTACGTTCGAAGCTAGAACCGCCTTAACAATTTTTCTGGATATCGGTCAGAAGAAACAAATTTCTGGTCATTGGCTCGAAGAAAAATAGACTACGACTTTTGTCATATTATTTTCTAGACCCAGTCAGTCCTCCTTGCTTGTTTCTCAGTTCCTACAGTATTAATACAGTATATTAAAATACATTGTTCATAGACCGAGTCGAGAAAAATGAAATATCTTAACACAGCCGCCATCTTGTCGCTCCTCTGCGCTTCAGCGAGTGGGTTTGCTCCTTCTGCTCGCAACAACCAGCTGCAGTTTCAGCTCCAGTTTCAGTCGAAATCGCAGACACAAACGCCTTCCTTTAACGATAAGAACAACAATGCACTTCAGAGTCCCACGAGTGTTGAGTCGCAGCTTTTCATGGCTGACCGAGTGCAGATTCTTGAAAAGGAAGCCTCAACCTCAGACTCAACCTCAGACTCTACATCACCTGTCACACGTTCAGCTGACGACAGTGTCTCAGGAGACATCGCCACTGAAGAAGAGTTGGATGGTGAATACAAGAAAGGAATTGCCATCATTGGTTTCATTACCTTGTTGAACGCTTCCCTCGCCCCTGTCTGGCACACTGTCTTTGCTTCTGGAAATAGTCCGCCACCACTATTTCTGAATGCCATTGTGAGTGTCGTGGCTTTCACAGGCCTCTTGGCTGGAGGATCCTTGCTCGATTCGAGTGTAGAATCTTCCAGCGCTCTTGCCGGCTCATCAGGGGAGAAATGGTCACAGCAATCATTCCGCGGTGGCATTGAACTGGGATTGTGGAAGGGTCTTGGAACGACATGTCACATCTATGGAATGGCATTGACAACCGCTAACCACGGAGCCTTTCTTTTGCAATTGACTACCTTGATTGTCCCTGTTATTCAAGGTCTTCGGGGAGAAAAGATACCCACCCAGATTAAGCTTGCTGTTGTTTTGGCACTTGCAGGAATCATTGGTTTCACACAGGATCCATCCGGGGCTAGCGACGTAGCGGTTGATGCCGCGCAAATGCAATTGGGTGACTCACTAGTCCTCGGAGCAGCTTTTTTTTACTCGCTGTATGACATTCAGACATTTTATTGGGGACGTGAGGTTCCAAGAACTGAGTTGGTCACTATCAAGGTTGGATTCCAAGCCATCCTTTCCATCTTGCTATGTGCTATTTTTGTTCGAGAAGATGTTGTCAACTACATCACCTCCGGTCCAGATCTCGCTGTCATGATTCCTGTGGTGTTGTGGAGTGGATTGATTGTCAATGCTTTGGCTACTTTCTTGCAAGTCGGTGGTATGCAAAGTGTTGGACCAACAAGAGCGCAGACCATTTTTGCGTCGCAACCTCTTTGGGCATCCATATTGAACTTTGTATTTATAGGGGAAGTCATGGGAGTCCAAGGATTTGTCGGTGGAGGTGCGTTTTTGGGGGCTCTCTTTTTGGCGGCGACCGCGGATGCTCCGAAGCCAAAATTGAAGGGTGCGGAAGAATCACTATGATAGGCGACCTATCACTGCGACTGTCGACTGTACCTACCCTATCTACCTACCTACCTACCTACCTACCTACCTACCTCTTGGTAGAGAGGAGAAAAAAGACTACGAGATGGATGCAAACGCAAGTGCTGTTTGTTTCCACAATGGCCTACACTGTTACTCGTACTGGTAGGATTGTTGCCAGGCAAGAAAATCCTAAAGGGTCCACATGATTCCCCCTTCTTTACACAACACGGTCGTACCAATGAGAATAAAGACTTTGCAATTCATGCTAGAAGACCGACCAGAAGAATAGAAAGCTGTGTAGTGTATTATAATATTATAAATAGTAGAACAAGTTTACAGGATACAGGATAGTGCCGTTCTTAGCTTTATTTGTGATGCTGTGTTTGCATCGCTCGACGTCCTAATGTTTACACTGCTCAATGCGAGTATTCCATATCGTGATCAATGTGTACCAGGAGGCTAGCAAACATGAATGGTCCTGTCCTCGAGTTATCCACCGGGCTCCTAAGCTGAAGGGATCTAAATTACCACCCCATACATTTGCTGGTACTACCTGATGCAACCGATGGCCGTATTCTCGTGGTTTGTCCGGCGTCTTTGTGATCGTAACCAGCTCCAACGTGGTACCTCGGCCATACCTGGAACGCATCAGTGTGCAAATACAGTGTATTATAGTAATAACCTTGGGAGCAAGAATCTTTTATGAACATACAGTTTGTTAGCCGCCGATTGCACTGTGCTCTGTCCTGTTCACTTTGTTTGTCTCCATCATTTTTTTATTTTTTTCTAATCAGATCAGTGTTATGTGGTTGACACAACCATTCTTTGTTAAACTCTGCGTCCAATCCGCCTCTTTTGATGTATTCGACAGCCAGACAGTTATTCTCATATAGTAGCACCTCTGAATTCTTTGTAATATCACACATCTCCGTCACATCCCAATATCTACATACAGTCTCAGCCTCGCATATCTCTCTCTCTCTCCGTACACTCAAGCTCAACTGGCAAGGACTCTGTAAACCTAGCGTACTTGTGCAAACCCACCGTTCTCTTGGCTCTGTATATTCCGTATATCTCTTACTTAGTTGACTAGGCACTGGGGTGATTATCTCACAACCTTCGCTATTTGTCCAATTGGTCATTAGTCCCTCACCCAGGATCCTCTCCTTACCATCGAGACACTCAACCAGTTTCACCCCGTTGACATAGTGCTGTTCTTGACGTAAATTTGTTTTGTTGCCTTTTGTGATTGAATGTTAGAATAAAGCAAAATGTGCTCTATCGTGAGTGCCTTTAGCGCTCAGAACAAACTCTCTGCAATCTAAATTCTAATCGATTGTACAACACTTTCACGACAATAGTTCTCCTGTGTCTAGGTATACTTTGAGTGAAATTGTTCCTATTTGATTAATGTTTGGCTTGAATTGATGATTCAATCACAAAAGTGAGTTCGACGATTTTCCCTTGGAAAGTCCCTTGTTTACAGAACTCGATTCGACTTCTACGACAATTCTGTGTTGAATGCAGTACTTTGGGATATCTTGCATTATTCCCTACTGCTTCGTACACACCATCAATATTACACTTGTACAGGATCTTTTCCCGTTTGTGTGGATACAGATTGTCCGACAGACTTGCGTCCGGCATACTTGCGTCGAATCCCGACATCGCGCACGATCAAAGTTCGATCGCACGTGTCGAAAATCTCGTACTTGAATAGTTTCTTTTGGAACGTAAAAACTCATATTTCGTCATATCCCAACAGATTCGGTCGAAAAAGAAAATTAAATCTCGTGGCTCGAGAACATCACCTGAGAAACCCAAATTTTTGAATAAAGGTTCCACTATATTAAGGTAATAGGTGTGTAAAATTGTATTGTCTAATTCCATCATTAAGCAATTCAACGGATATGTTGTGTTCAATTTTTGGGACTTGGCCCTGATCAGGGCCGTCTGCCCCCCGATGGGTTAGAACGAACAGATCTCGGGCGTGCGTTTGACGTTGTGGTGCGTCCCTGGTGCCGATCAATTACCGGTAACCAATATATATAGAATGCAAATGTCCCCAAACTGCGAATCACAGGACAGTAACCTAACAAAAGCACACACGCACACAGTCTCGACGGTAATCGAAGCACATTCCTTTTTAAGCAGTTAGTTTTTATCACACTACCGCCGTTTTTCGTTTGGCCTTTGCTTTTGAAACCTCTTCCTCCTCCTCTTCTTGTTCAACTCCTAATTCTAGAGTAGCTCGATTTTGGACTGGCTTTTTTGTCTTCTTCTTGGCTAAAGCCTTTGCTTCCTGTCCTGGAGAAGAATCCTTCTCTTTGTTTGAATCTATAGGTTTTCGTCTCTTTTTGCCACTTGCAGCAGATTTGGAACGCTTCTTTGAACCTCCCTCTTTCTCTTTTCTCCTATCAGCACTAGTAGACGCCACAGCACTGGGATCATCTGGTGCGGAGTCACTTCGGTCCCGATTACCTGACACGGCTTTGTCTTTTTTCTTTTTGGTTTGGCCATCTTTCTTTTTCGGATGCGTCTTATGTTTCTCTTTCGTACTCCCAACTCCACCATTCTCTTCGACACCTTGCACGTTTGGATGCTCACCATCCTCTGATCGACCCTCAACATTTCCATCATTCTGCAGCAAAGGAGTAGCAGCATTGCTTTCTGCGCTCAGTTCCTCTGCATTTTCTTCATTTAATGTGATTTCTCCAGAGCCATCCACTTTACTGTCTTCCTGGCTCGCCGCTGTCTCCACTTGCAAAGAAGGAACTGCTTCGTCTTCATCGTTTGAAGCGGCTTCTCCTGATGCACCTCCCTCTATGTTTTCATCTTCGGCTATTTCTGCGCCTGACTTTGGAGATTGCTGTCTTTCTACTTCGTTGGCGCCGTCTGTATCGTTCGTCTCCTCCTCCTTTGCTTCCCCTGCATTTTTTTCAAGTTCAGAATCATCCTCCGGTGTCTTGAGAACATCAGGTTTTTGCTTCCTTCGACGGAAAAGGTTTGCGACAATATTCAAAGAGGTAGATTTCCGAGGCGTTGTAGCCTCTCGAGCGGAAGGCGACTTCTGAACCACATCCGCATCTCCCTCCAAGGAATCATATTTCTTCTTTCCAAAAAGCCTCTTGACGATGTGTGTGTTTGCAAGCTTAGGAGACGACTGGTCCTTCTCTGGAGCCGGAGGAACTTCGTCGACTTGCTGTTCCACGGGTGGGTCTGAGATCTGATTTGCGGTATCCTCCTTTTCATGTTCTTCTCCGTTGTCCTGTTCAGCTTTCAGAGAGCCGCTCGAGGACAGTGAAATGTCATCTTCATCAGTGTCATAGGAGGAGCTTGTGCCGTCAGACCATCCCGTATCGGAAATGAATGACCCAGCTGAATATTCTCCCACGGTCTGGTTTGATTTTGACACAACATGGGCCTGTTCAATCGAATTCAGTAGCAAAGAAAGGGTTGTTTCACTCTGTCTGGGATCTTTGCCCGCATGTGGATCTGGATCATGCGCGCTTTGTTCGTCCAATGTATCAAGAGGCACACTCGGTCGCTTTCCTTGTAGACGTTGTGATCCCGCCGATCCGTGTGATTTTCTCTTTGGCTTTGTCTTCTTGGAAGTCGACTTTCTGGATTTGGACTTTTTGTCCTTACGCTTTTCCTTCTTCTTGGATTTCATTTTCTTGGAATCCTTAGAATCCTTGGAATCTTTTGACTTTTTAGATTTCGATTTGTCGTCCTGATTGGCTGCATCTCCAGATTTTTCATCCATCGCATCTCGTTCACTACTCGCCGGGGCTTCCACTTTTGTTGGCCTTGCGGAATCGCTTGAGCTGTCATTTTCACCATGTCCTTCTTCTCTAGTCCTTGCTTCAGGTTCTGCAACACTTTGTGACTCGTCTCCTTTGTGCATAATTTTGCCCCCTAAGGAAGCTTCGTCAAGAAAAGTTAGAGTCTGTGAGCCGTCGTTTGTTTCATCGTTTCCAGCAGCTGGATCAGTTGGATTAGTCGGATCAGTTGCCTCCTCCTGCTCTGCTTGTTGTGCTTCCGAAGCATGCCTGATTTCCTCCTGTTCCGAGTGTGTACCTGTACCTTCGATATTGGCAGTATCTGGGACTGAAGGCTCGGATGCACTTTCTGTTTCGGCACTTGAGGTCTTCTTGGAATCCGAATTCTCCAAATCATTTGTTGTGGGTGAATTGTCCACATTTTCATTTTGGCTTCCCTCGTCGCTACCGCTGCCGCTACCCTCGCAATCGTCCCCTTCTTCGCCTTCTTCCCCTTCGAATAGATCTGATTTTGAGTGTCGTTTCTTCAAGCTGAATAAATCAATGTTGCGAAAGCGCTTGATGGAAGGATCCCTTGGCCCATTATTCCGTTTCTGTTGTCGCTCTATCAATTTCTTTTTGAGAAGCAGATCCTTGGCCTTTTTTGCTTCTTCCAAAGGTTCAGATGATACTTCTTCATCTGAATCTGCTTCTGATATTTCCCCATTAGCACCATTCTCCATGGATTCATCGAAATTGGAATCGGAAGGCGCCGCTTTTGCGTCCGCGTCGTTTCCTTCTTGAGGCTTGATTGTACCTGTTTTCAGCGGCTCCCTAGACTTTTGATTTCTTGCGTCCATCTTGTCGTCGGTTTCCTGAGATACTTCATCATTAAGACCTTCTTCAAAGTCTTCAGAACCACTGTTGTCGTCATTGTTGTCGGTGTTTTGCAATTCTGTTTCGGCATCTCGCTGTAAAGGAGATGAAGAATCTTCAGACGAAGACTCTTCGGACGCATCAGGAGCACTTTCGCCAGTTTTCTTTAAAAGCATTGTGTGAATAATTAATCTTTCCCCTTGTCATGTAGTCTTTGTTCTGCTTTCCAATAGTTGCTATCCTTTAGGAAGCTGAATTTAACATGACGAGGATCAAAGGATACTGAAATCAATTTTGATGTTGGATGAATGAGTGGTTCTTTGGGTTGATTCTTGCTTGCAAGCTTGTTCCTTCTTCACAGCTGTGACTTCAACAATCTCGAGGAGAGTATAATGAGGTAGATAAGTCAATGGTGGGAGGTATACGGTACGCAGTATACTGTAGTGTACGGTATTCGAAGATGACGGTGCGCAATTATAAGGTCAATATAATCAGCTGGTTGTGGGTTGCGGGTACGATACAACGAACAGGTTTTCCTACCATCATCACCAAATGACTGTTTGTGGTCGATGGAATCAATAATCGAATGCATGGAATGAATCGAATCAATCAATGAATCAATTCAGATTGATCGATCGAACTACAGTAGTCCGTTTTGAAGACCAATCAAATTGCGAAGATTCAAAAATACTGACTGAAGGCAAAATATGGGCAATACTGTAATATACTTTAAGTACCAGACAAGCAAGCAGCTTGGTCTATTTCTTCTACTGCCCGGTAACACCCTCAGTCACTTATCAATATTGCACTCCTCCTTGGGTTCATTTGGCTACGTTGTGGTCGCTTGCTATATTGATACAACAAAAGTCAGGTCTTTTTCAAGACTTTTCCAAGATTTGCGGTTCTCATCACCTCGCATCATCTTGTTGATTGAACGCTTGTCCTTGCTTGAAGCTTCCTCTTGATCGCTGATCCTTGACCATACATTTTGCACGCAGTGTCATAATACAAGAATGAAGGCTTCGAGTCTGTATACGATTGGCACTTCCTGCATATTCCTCTTTCTCGCCCTTGTACTTCCATCAAAAAAAGCAATAACATGGGGTTTTCAAGCAACAACTAGGACTGGTATTAATACACAGCGACAAAGTAAGCCAATCTCTGGATCAGCGCTACGGCGATCTCGCAATCAGTACCCATATCCTTATCGGCCACTGTGGTATTCTCCATCATCAGATGACGACCGGAATCAAGATTCTGAAAAGGTGAAGAGTGGTAACCAAAACAAATCCAATAAGAGCGCCGTAAAGAACAGCAAAAGCAGTCAAAATGGCCAAACACCTTTCAACATATTCAATCAAATATTTCAACACTTGGGATACCAGTCAAAGGTAGACGAAATTGAAAAGAAGGATGTGGAATCCGAATCGCAATCAGAATTGGAATTGGAATCATCGCCTGCCAGTAGCGGAAAACAACAAGATCGCGTAGCTAGAAATGCAATTATAATGCCCAAGCAAGGAAGTGCTACCGAAAAGGTGAAACCAAATTCAAAAATTCAGAAGCCAAATATTAAGGCAACGATGGTATCACAGAAAAATAGCAACAAAAGTCTTCGCCAGGAGAGAGTATCATCGCTGACAACTACCAATGCTGGGAACGTCACTGCAAATAATACTGCATTCCCTACGCATGAATTTCAACAAAAGTTGTTGGAAGCGTCCCTGGCACAAAGGCAAAAGGATATGAAAGAAAACACCACGTTGTCGACAAAGTATCAAGCGAGCATGAAGCATATTCGAGTTCTAGCAGGGTTATATAACAGTACAAAAGTTGATGCGACACTACCAATTCCCGAACCAACCAACTTTAAGAAGCGAGGAAGAAGAGAACGAGAATCTGCAAAGAAACTAGTTCGCAAAGCTACTGCTGAAATGGGCAAAATAGTCAGCAAGGAGGATGCTGCAAAGCGCAAGAAAAAAGCTGTCAAAGCGGCAAACTTCACTGCTACAACAAGGGAACAGACGAAAGAGACCAAGGATGTCCAACTGAAGAAGCAGCAACCTCAAAATGGAAAACGAAACAACTTTAATTCAACACGACCATTACCTCCTCGGCAAAATCAAGATAGTACAAGGCGAATGCGACGACTATCACAATTTCAGCAACGACTACTGCAAGCAAGACTTCGATCAGAGGCAAAATTCAAAGTATCGTTAGCACAACGCCATGAAGCCATTATTCGGGAGCAAAGGCTTCAATCCCAACGGCAACATTCTGACTTTCGTCGTCGTCTTCTGGAGCAGACGAATACGTACGATATAGAGGCTATCAAGCGAAAGCGGAGGCTTCAGTCCCAACGGAAGCATCACAACTTTCATCGACGTCTTTTGGAACAAAAAAATGCTTACGATATAAAGGCTATCAAGCGAAAACAGAAGCTTCAATCCCAACGGAGACATCACAACTTTCATCGACGTCTTTTGGAACAAAAAAATGCTTACGATGTAGAGGCTGTCAAAGGAAAGGAGAGGCGCCGCATCGTGGAAGAAAGATTGACACAAGAGAGAAGGGGTCGGGAAGCCAAGAAAAAACAAGAGTTCCAATTTCACCAGCACTTACTTGCAGCAAAATACCAATATATAGAAAGGGCCCAAAAGTTCAAAATGAAAAGGCTCCTTCAAGAAATTCTTCAACAGAAGGAAAATAAGAGGAAAGAGAAGGAATACAAATTTCAGAAGCGACGGCTGGAAGCATCATTTCAATCAATGGAAAATCAAAAGGAAAAAGAAAAGCAGCAAAAAGAAAAAGAAATACAACAAAAGGAAAAAGAAAAACTGCAAAAGCTCAATTCGATGCTCCAAAATTTTAGCCTGATGAATTATACGAAGAAGAAGATTGGCGAGAAATCAAAGTTCAATTTTCAAAGGAAGTTGCTAGAGGCGTCGATTGAGAACACGAGGATCACCAGGCGCCGCGAGAAGAAGAATCAATCGGAGAAACAAAAATTGAAACTCCAACAAGGCTTGCTGGAACAGAGACTTCGCAGCGAAGCCAAGGCGGATGATTCGAAGCGAATGGCGATGGCGCAGGCTGAATTTCAACAGAATCTTGTTGAATTGTATGACAAAATGGCTAGCTTCAGCAAGTACGAAAAAGATTTCGCTGCCGATGAAATGATACGCCAGAAACAAAAAACTGATTTTCAACAAGATCTCTTATCAGCAAGAATTCGAAACGATCTGGTTGCTAGAAAGCGTCTGGCAGAAAAGAGGATAAACGAATTGCACCAGAGTCTACTCGATGCCCAAAGAGAATCAGAACTAGCAGCCGCCCAGGTATTGGAGGCTGAAGAACGAAAGCATCAAGCACAGTTGGATTTAGAGGAGCGGCAAAAGCGCGAAGACGAAGAGAAAGAAAAGGAAGCGAAACGTATTGAAGCAGAGCAACGGGTGAAGCAACAAATCGAAGAATCCAGAGAGCGCGAGGCCGCAATCCGAGCAGTACTCGAAAAAGCTGGCCGCCAGCAATCCAGCGGCGAGTCTGTCAAAGGTATGAATGAGTACGAAGCAATCTTGGAAATGCAGCGCAAACAAGCGATACAGAATCGGATCGACGAAGGAAAGCGACGGCAAGATGAGTTGCAGCGAATGATGGAAAATGCTGGGCGCACAGAAGCTTCGGAACAGACAATGGATCGATACGAAGAAATCTTGCAGCAGCAACGGAATGAGGAAATGCGAAGGCAACAAGCAGAAGCACAGCGGCGTCAAGAAGCTTTGCGGCGTCAACTGGAGGAAGCAGGACGACCGCAAGAAGAATCCGCAAGCACTATGGATCAGTATAGTCAATGGGTTGAACAAACCAACAAGACTTCTTTGGCTCGTCCCGAGCCTTGGCAGCCGCCCCGTGCTACTGTTGCTACTGAGACTACCGCTCTACTTAAATCAGATGCCATTAGGACAGGTAGCCAACCAAGTTCCGTCTTCCAACCTGAACAGGCTCCTACAATTGATTCCGCTGCTATATCACCGTCACAGGAGGAGAACCAATCTCAGCAACAGCAACTGGAAAATCAACAGGAGGTCGATCCACTGGTTGGAAAGGTGCTTCTTGACAAGTTTGTGGTTGCTGAAAAGTTGCGTGTGGGTGGTGATCGCAGTGAGCTCTATAAATGCTATCACGTTTTAGATAAGCCACAGGAATACGCTTTGGTCATCAAACTATCTCACAATATTCAACAAATCGAACTTGAGCACCGAATCTACGGTGACTTGTTCTCTCGGCTTTCTCACGATCGCCAAGAGCTATTTGTCAGAGCCTATGACTGGGTTCCAGCGTCAGATCTAACAAACGGACGAGTTGGGTTTGCAATGGAGTGCGGGCTCGAGAATTTGCGTGGTCATATTTGGAGACATGGCCCATACAATGGCGAGAAACTCCGCACAGCCATGGAAAACGTGATTCGCATCGTCCAATCGCTGCATGGTTTTGGGGTTGTCTGGAGTGAGTTGAAGGCAGAAAACTTTATTGTATTCAATGGTGACAAGATCAAAGCGGTGGATTTGGAATCAGTAGCCGCACACAACGAGTTCCTTCGTGCTTACACTGCTGAAACATATCCCCCAGAGTTCCCAGCCGAATCATTGTATCAATGCCTGCCTCAAATTCCTGTGGACTACTCGTTTGATGTCTGGGGTATGGGGTTGACATTGTACGAACTTGCCGTGGGCGAACCGTTATTTACACTACAGCGGACCTATGACGTCGAATACATCAAGGAAAGACTGAAGAACCCAGAAGGGATCGTCGATGAGGCAAACAAGAAAATGTGGAAGGTAGAATCAGGAGCGCGCAACATTATTCGAAAGTGTCTTGTGGTGGATCCAACAAAACGAAGTTCATGCGATGAATTACTCCAAGATCCATACTTTGCAAACGGAAAGCAACCGCCTGCTATATTTTCTCCATCAGCTATGGGGAACAATTCTTTCAATTAAATTTTCAGACTGGGAAGCAGACGTACGCTAGAGGAAATTGGGACACAAACATGAGCTGTGGCTTGCAAACCGAAAGGAATAAGTGACTCAGTTTTGAGCGCGAACAAATATAGACGCTTTTCCATGAGAATGGGAGACAAGAATTGGTTTGCCTTCATAGAGCCATGTCCAGTTTCAAATCATACATGGATTCTTTTAAAACGCTGTGCGAGTGCTGGTACTTCCGTGTATCATGACAACTCTTTTCATTCCGCCAGGCGGTCGGCATGTGTTTCAAATTTAAATTGTTCGCGACCAAATGGCACGTGCCGCTAAATTATGTGACATCGTGAAAATCAAACATTTTCGAAAATGGCGGACTTCTGCCCTGTAGAATTTGATTTTCGTGATTCTTCGTCTCTCTATGAATATGAAGCCAGTGAGCTAGTGGAGTACATTCACTCGTGGCCTCGTTTTGGAATCTCGAAGGAATTTCCTGTTTCGTTGTTCACCGAAAATGAAGACGATGGCTCTGATGCCAATCTTTCTGTGTCGTATCTTACTGGTGTTTTTATGTGGAGCTTTATCTTTTCATCAGTATTGATTATATACATGTTGATTTTATCGGCCTACAATGTGCTTTATTCTGGGTCCAACGGTAGCCAAACTGCCGAAGGAAGGGTCGAAGATGTGCAAATCGATCAAAGTAAGCTCCAGCAAAAAAAAGGAAAGCAATTGCAACTTCAAAACAAAGAGGGGCAAGCTTATATACAGGAAAAACTGCACGACAAAGGATCAGCATCACTGAGTGCAAGACTCTCTGGTGTAGATGAGGATCACAACGTGCAGGAGCACAACCAACCTGAGAGCGAACATATTCTACGGCAACTGCAAACAAAAGATGCACCAGCAGCCTTGCCACAATCCCAATTCATCAGTCCGACGGTCTCGCGAAAGCGGCTCCTCGAAGCATACTTCGATTCCATTATGAGCACTTCGACAATGTTGAAGTCAGGATTGACTGATGGCAGTTTGGAAGGAGTGCGACAGCAACAAAATGAACGCTGCTTGAGAATTGCAACATCGCATCCTTCTGATGTTCAGTCAAACAAAACAAGGCAACGATGGACTTTTTCAAAAGTTTTTACATCCCCTAGAGAAGAGGATGACGATGATGATTCAACCTTTCAACCACCCAGGAGAGCGCAGATATTTGGTATTGAAGATCGAACTATTGCCTTCAATGATAAGGTTTCGCGAGCTCATGAAGTGCATTGTTCGGAGAGTCATCAAACTGATGACCGAGAAATTAGCCCAAGAACAGCTGCTACTGGGTCAAGTGGCAGTGATTTCGACGACCAGCAAGTCGATCCAGCTTCAATACACCGGGCCATAAAACGGCAGTCCGCCGACCAGGAATCCGAGCCTGGTTCTTGCTTCAAGATGCTTACACTTTTGTCTGGATTTATGCTACTCCTCTTTTCATGCTTGCTTTGTTCTGACGGACTCTTGCCTCTCGGCATTCAATCGGACTTGATGATTGAAGAATGGCACAATGTGATATATTCGGCAATTGAAACTGAGCAGATTGTCAACGATGTACAAGACTTGCAATCTTCACTTTACAAAGGTTCTACTCTCCTAATCCAAACACTGAATATGTCTTGTCCTTCCGTGCAACCATCACTCTGCGTTGAAGTAGGAGATAGCTACACATGCAACGTAACAGGAATTCCACTTCATGAGAATTGGGAAGTTTTGTTGGATATTGGGATGTGGCCAATGAACATCACAACCCGAAGTCAGGAAACATACAATTGGAATTTGGCAAATCACGATTTGACTTACCTTACAACAATGCCCTTTGAAACTGTGTTGAAGGCATGGCAATGGATCTTGAGGGCAGTTGCAATTTGCAACGCAACCCTTTTCTTTCTAGCTCTTCTCGTTCTCTGGTCTATTGCCATTCCGAAACGACAGCATGCGGTTCAGGATACGTTTGTGCGCCAAAGTCGAACTTTCTTTGTTCTTTTTTGGATCTCAACGGTACTGATTTGGATTTTTGCAATCATGTCTCTGGCTGGCACATTTGTTTTGTCGGATTTTTGTATCCAATCCCCAAGTGAAAATACAATCGAACTAATGTTTTCCAACACGACGAACGCTGGTCAATCCTTTTTATCCAAAGAATTTTGGAATTATCATATAGACGGCTGCCCTTTGGAAGAGTACCCAGACTCGCTCCAAGAAGAAATTGTAAATTGGTCAAGCCGTTTGGGACCTACAAGGGACCTACATGATGCGCTACGCAAGATACCGACAACCCAGTTTGAGCTTATTTGTGGTGCTGGTAGTGGCGAGTTGAGCTATGATTTGAGATTTGCAACGTCATATATTCAAACGGAAATATGCAGTCTTGTCCAAACACTAACATCCTTACGCCTCGTCTTGGAGTGTAAGAGGTGGAGTCCACAGTTTGAATCTATAGTATATCAAGGTGTTTGTGAACATGGGACAAACGAGGCTGGTTGGACAGCAATGGCAGAGTGGATTATCGTCGTGATGAGCCTCACGATTTGGACATTCCAAGAATCTTTTCGCGGTTCGACAAATAGAAACCCCACCCACCGCTCGACCAATAGCAGGCAACAACACAAACAGCTTCATGACGACAGGCTCGGAAAATCTCCCATCAATCCAACTCACGCTATCGAGGCGCCCTTTGTCGGAATGCACCAGCACCCAAACATTTCAGCTGCTCCCACGCATGCGGAAAGTCAAAAGATAGATCCTACTAATTCCCAGTTTCTAGAAGTATCCTCGAAACCTGTGGACCCTCCGGAGTTCAACCCGACAATTGTTGATCGAAACGAAATTATGTCAATTGAAGCGGAAGAGCCATTGAATTTGCAGTCTTTCCCCAACTCAAACTCAGCAACGCAAAATCGAACAGTCGAAAAGATCAGAGTAAAAAATACGACTCAAGATTTGGAGTTGCACACTAGGGAGCAGAATGGAGAATACGAAACACAGTACTCATCAGGTATACAGCATTGCGATACGTACAATACTCTACCGGTACCAGTGCCAAGAGGGCCCTCGGCTGTTGGACAGGCTGCATCAAGCCGATTTCAAATTGCAGGCTATGATTGCAATGAGGATAACGATCTGGAATCCCTATGAAAACTGCGAATAGAACCTTTTGCAATCGCTATGGTCTTTGGCTGCATCACGCCAAGGATGACATGTTGGGGTTCTGCTTTTGAGGAAGCCATCAACGTAGGACTCTGTAAACAATGAATATCCTCGCCTTTCGCCTGGAGAGACTAGAATGACTTGAGCAGATGAATAGTTGGTGTTGATGTGATCACCACGGGCCGTGTAGCATTCAAACAAAACTGAAACCAGACTTTTATTCAATGTAAATGCTGTTGCTATGCCATTGACTCCATCCAAACCACTGCCATCTGCTATGCGCACAAGCAGTAGAGCATGCAGCACCCCATGCCGACATCCATATATTAATACACGACCTTTTGAGTACCATGCTATCTGCATGCACTATATACTATATACTGTAGAAACAAAGCGCAAACAGACTTATTGAATTTCTACGTTAACTCGCCCTGTTCACGCCCCATGGGCACCAGCTCTTGGCTGCTTGCATCCATTTCCTCAACATCATCTGTTTTATCCAAATTTTCAAACAGCGTTTTGAAGTTCCACCATGCATAACCTATTTGCAAGAACATTTGCAACGCAATCAGCAGTGCTTTGCTGATTGACATTTCCATATTCGGCACAACTTCGCCAAAGAAACCACCTCCAGGTATTGACAAAGTGACAGCATTGATAGCCCACACCAATAGAGCAAACATGTAGAGCAACGCCTTTTCGAACCCTTTCGACGCATTGCCTTTGCCCATGACCCTTTCTTCACAATTGTACTTCACCAGAGGTGTGAAGGCGAAGGGGAGAAGGAATCCCTATGGAATGAAAGAAAGTGATGTGAAGTGAGAAGAATGATCTAGCTATCTTTCGATTCTTACAATGCGACAAGCATGCTTACCAATAGTGCGTTGACGACATTTACGAGTTCGTTCAGTTTATCAGGAACCAACAGACACACAAGGATACTTGGAGTAATGGCAACCAAGCGTGTAATGATTGCCCTTAAGGCAAGCGGTATTTGGAGGTTGAGAAACCCATCCATGACGTACTGTCCAGTGTACGTAGTTGTGATAGCACCACTCTGTCCTGCTGCCAAGAGAGCAACAGCCCATAGAAAGCAACCATTTGGAAGACTCTGAAAGTAGTTGCAAAAGTCAGTTAACCCGACTTTGCTTGCGTCATCTGAACCATACACTGTTTCAGCGGCTACAGCTACAACCGCCAAATTGATGAAAAATGAAATCAAAATAGGAGCAATTGGCTCAATAGAGCAATAGAAGGCGGCCTTGTCAATCACATCCGGCGATTGCTTAATTGCGAACGACCGTGATTTCAAATCCCCCGAATGTAGATACAAGTTGTGTGGCATTACGACTGGTTTTGAAACGTTAATTATCCGATATAAAGTAGACAAATAGAAAACAATATTTCTTCCACTTACCAGCCCCGATGATTCCAGCTATGCTGAAGATATCATCTTGTTTTACTTCCAAAAATCCAAGCATCCACCCCCTCATTATATCTGACCCACTAGGTTGAACAGTAGCCATTTCCGTGAATATTGCAATTGACATAATCCCAACAAAGATGCAAATGATTCCCTCCAATATCTTGAACCCAGAGTTGAGCGTTGAAAGGAACACCATTGTTGTGAGAAGACTGAAGAGCAGTCCGACAATGTAAGGGACGTCAAAGAAAAACCTCGCAGCAATTGCAAAGCCTACAATACCCGGTAAATCTGTGATTATGGTACTGAACTCTGCGATGAACCATTCAAAGTATCTTAACCATGCGTTGGTCTTGGCGCTGTATTTTGCTTGTGCTTCAGCTAAATTGAGCTTCCCATACAACGCCAATCTGACGCAAAGTACTTGAACGTATATTGACAAAAGCGAGGTCCAAAAGAGTGTGAAAAGAAGGTTGTATCGGGTGGTAGCTCCCGCTTGAATATCGGCTTGGTAATTTCCGGGGTCGACGTACGCAATGCTTACCAGCCACCCAGGCCCGCTGAAGTGAATGAAGTCCTTCAGAAAATTGCCTGAGGGAGTCCAAAGCGACGACGAAGGGGCTTCCTCTGGTGAAAAGTCGATTGTCACTTCTTCATCTTCTTTTGATTTTGATTGACTGCTATTGCTGATATTGTTGTTCATTACGATTATCGCACATGAGTATTTGTGTTGATGTCTGATGTTTGAAGATGAAAATCGTTGGTTCTTGCGTGATGTTGAAGGTCTTCGCAATCCAAAATCATGTGATCACACGGTCCGTCATGCGCTCGTTTCTAATGGTTGACCCCATTGACTAAAATCCTTGTCCTACCTCCTGTACGGGTACTGTAGTATTACTGTACCGCGTACTTCAAATATGGTTATATAATACCTATTACTTCGAATGCCTTACTGTATGATATGACGTTCAGCCAGCTAGGACTAGAGACCAGCGTCAATTGATTTGGTCGCTTGTTCCATGGGATGTTGCATTTTTATAATGTGCCAGCAGAAGCCACCTGCCTAGTAGTACTAGTGCTGGACTCTTTTTACCTTGCTAGTCTCATCATGTTTGACACCCACAGCTTTCACCAGTCAAAATTGAAAAGAAGAGTTTCTTCATCGCAATCGAGCATTTTGCTTATGATTACCACGATTTCCATTCAGATATGTGGCTTTTACCGGTACATACTAGTGTACCTGGTGAACGTATATCTGATTTTGCGTACTGTATCCGCCACTCCGAGTCAGTCCACGTTTGGGGAGAATTCAAGGCTCCAAGATGTCATGAAGTGGAAGTATAGAAGTGCCGTGACGTTAATTGGAATCGCAAGTATTGCACGTGTATCCAGATTCGTTGCAGAAAATTCCGGTCCGACTGAGGAGGAAGAAGTGGCTGGTTCCATTTCTGTCGCTTGGACTATCGCGACAATATTTTGTCACATTTTCCATCCAGTGCTTTGTTCAATTGTATACCATTGAGTTTATTGCGTTGAGTTCATTGCCTATTGAAAGTTATGGGTAATAGATGTCCACCTATTTTTTAAAGAAAGAGTATAATACTCATAATATAAAAATCAAAAAGTTCAAAGTGAACGCCAAGTCAGCCCGCATATATGCCGTTGGTCGGCAGAACAACAACGTTCGCGCCGGCCGACCGACCAACCCATTAGATTTCCACGCTGCCAATAAAAGAAATGAAGAACTTGCAAATAGCTTTCGGAACATTTGGCTGAGCAACACCATGTCGAGAAACCTGAAGCGATATAGTAGTAGAAAGAATCAAATTAGGGACTTTTTCAATAGCCCAATATATGGCAGTGGTGCATGCCCACTCTGTGAGAACAACGCTACGCCCGAAAACTTGAACAAACATCTCAACGATAATTCAAATAGCAAAACCTGCGGCGACGTTCACTTGGAACTCTCATTAATCAAACAAGCTTCCCAGCCAGATTTATGTGATGCAAAACAACAGTTATATCGGACCAAATGCTGTCCTGAGGAGACTGGAGTTGAAGAGCATGTCGGGCCAACGGTTGGGACAGCCCTGGGATTCTTGGCAGTATTGATATTGATCAAGAGGATCTTGTCATTACGAGTTCGGGTCATTTCGAATGACGATGAAAGCGTTTCGTCGCAATCGAAATATGAGCAAATGGAAGACGGTGTTAGGTCGGATGGGGTTGATTCCCAAAAGGGGTCGCATTCCGTGGCGGTAAAGCAAATCGTTGTCGACCGACGCTCGCAAGTTGTGTAGAGCACTGATTTTTGCAGCGAATTCAAACTGCACGCTACAAAGTGACCACCAGAATGATAGAAGGCTTACCGGAAGGGCTATGATTTGGAAGGAGTTGAGAATGCAGCTATCGAATAAAACTCGACGAGCGCAAGAAACAACACAAGAACTCACCACAAATTGACTACATTAATTGTAGCTTATAAGCACATGTAAGCTTTTAACATGTGCATTTGAAAATTGATGTAGCGAAGATGCTGCTAGCAGACCTCTGATGAATCGATTGTAGATTTGGAGGCCTTGCGTGTGTATATTGCTTGAGTGTGAGTGTCAAGAGGTTGAGGTTGAGGTTGAGGTTTTTCAAAGTCTTGATCAGATTCATTCATTCATTCATTCGTTCATGAATAAAATAATTTTGTTCCGGCATTGAGTCCCGAGTCACTTCTTTCCTCTATATATTATGCATTTGCGATGAGTCAGTAATAACTGTCATTCTCATCATGAGACCTCGAGTTCAAGGAGGGTTGAAGGGCCGAGGTGGGACAACAGAACCATTAATATTGATAGGCAGAATATTAATACATACAACCTGAAAATGCCATCCCATTTGTTCCTTTTTGCCTCAATCCTAGTTGTTTCCCTCGTCTTTGCAACAGTACCTCTGGCAGATGCTTTGAGCTTGAACACAAATGAACAAAGCGGGCGAGTCTATTGGAAGGGTTTGGGTGATTCGTTTCGACATCCATTGGATTTTCAACTGGCGACTGCTTTCAAGGCGAGCCCACTGCATGAAGTTTCCAGCGGTGCCGTCCGTAAAGCACTTGGAATTGTGGAAGAAGGACTGCGCTTACAACTATTGTCCTCGTCGATTAAGGTTTCTGACGAGCAACTGCCAACCATACAGGGGTTGATGGTGGAAGCTTGCAAAATATTGGCATTGCCAGAACCTGAAGTCTACATTCAATCAAGTTCGACTGCGAACGCCTACACTCTTGCAACTATAACCAAAGACAAAGACGGAGTGTCGAAGAAGCCAATTGTGGTCCTCACTTCAGCCCTGCTTGAGCTTTGTTCGGATGCGGAGCTGCAGGCTATCATTGGCCACGAACTGGGACACCTCAAGTGTGAACACTCCCTATATCTCACCCTGGGTTCAGCGGCGTCCACTGTCTTTCCGTTCTTATCGAGCAAGAAACTCACGCAAGATTGGCGCCTTTCAGCAGAGTATAGCTGTGATCGAGCTGCATTGTTAGTCTGTCAGGACGTTAATGTGGTGAATGCGGCAATGGTCAAGTTGTATGCTGGTGCTGCTATTCCTGATTTGAATACTGACAGTTTTGCTGCACAATCTGATGCTTACGAGGAACTGCTGAAAGATGCAAACCCACTGATAAGAAATTCAATTCGAAGAGAACCCAGGACACACCCCCTCCCCGTCAAACGAGTCAAGGCTCTAAAAGAATGGTCCGACTCGGACAGCTACGATCGGCTCGTTCAACGCGCCAAGCAGCTGGACCAATTTCTGGATAGCAAACCACCCACGACGGAAATTGATAGTTGATTGATCACATTTGCAATTTGAAGCTTATCCTGGTGATGCTGCAAACGTCGTTAACGAACCCATTTTAAAGCCCGGCTATGGGCGGCTTCCAAAGGAAAGCTATTCAAATATTTCGAGTGCAGCACATTCCTAGTTTTCTTTACACTCATCATTACTATCAGAGACACCACCAGTTAGGACTCTATTGTTGGCTTTTCGTCTTCAACGCCTATTGATCCATCCGTTGTTTCCCCTTCGCCGCTCAATGCTGCGATCTCTCGCGCCTCTCTTTTAAGCTTGGCTTCGTGTCTATGCTCATCCAGTATACGTTTCCAAATTAGCATTCCACGAAGTTTCCGTTTTGCACGTTGAAATGTAAGGTAGTACCGCAACTCTTGTTCGGCAAGATCCATGGCTGCTGTACCGTCGTGGTCGGCATTGACCATCTTTGAGTGAGTTGGATTGAACCCACTTGGGTAATGCTGGTGTATTGACTCGATTTTCTCACGGATCCCAGATTCAGGGGGATACCACATTGCGAGCGCATCTTGAACATTTGCTTTTTGACTGCTCATTAAACTGTCATAAACGCTCTTCCATCCATTATCACAGAGAACCCATTTGGGGTTCAACGGAAAGGCATAACCTTCATCAATTTTTGATTTTAGAATATCTTGTAGACCTTTCGGATCAACATATTTCCATGGAAGGGTGGTCCCTGGTAGGTTGTCGGAGATGACCAAGAAATGATCATCCAACTCTTGAGGAAAGTAAAAGTTAAAGCATTCTGCCCCATGGCGGACTGAGCCTTCTTCTCTTAAGCGATGAATCGCATGTTTCATTATCGTGTATGTTTTTGGATCGCTAAATCCAAGCGGCGGAATTTCTGGGTGAAATCCTTTTGCTGCTTCCGTTTTTAGTGTGTTTAGCCATGTACCGGTCCACGATTGATCCTGCTCTCCATTCTCAAGCACAGCTTCAATTTGTTTGACACACCACTGTAGCACCTTTAGCTGGTCCTCTGGTAGAGGGTCCTGGTATTCGACTCCACGCGTTCCGATGAGGAAACAATCGAAATCACTTACAACAGGCATGACGCCATTGTTTTCTTCATACGCCATAACAAAGTCTAGGGGATTCAAAGGATTCACATTCTTATCGTTTGGATCGACATAGTGCATGAGAACAGTCTTTGGTCCACCATTGGTTGGTTCTTTCCTCAGTGACAGGTTGTTCATGTTCTGGAAGTTCGGTTCGGAGGGTCTGCCAACGTCGTTTTCGGTACCAGGTTCTCTCGAAATGTCCTGCCGAACTACTATGGCTTCCCAAAACAACCGAACTGGTACATCGATTCCAAATTGCTTTGGCGCATATTCATTGAAGCACTTTACAGTAGGATCAGCCATGGCCCAGATGAGCTTCTCTAAGGCCCACTCCATGATGTCGTCATCAATTTCTTCTTCCTCGCTACTATGCACGATCTCTTCAGCTTTCTGGAGGGTCTCCATCATTTCTTTGCAGACTTCTCTTAGCTTTTTCACAACCAAGTCTCGCGAAGCCTGTTGATTGAAAAAAACTCGAATTCTTGCATCTTTTGGGTGTGTTCTTATTTGCTTTTTGTGCTCGTCGTTGTGAATTTGTAGAAATGGAACAAAGCCGGAGAGTTTTCCCTTTTTTGCTGATTTTCCTTTGATATCTAGTCCTTTTCCAACCCCTTCGTGCAACATCATTCGCCGAATGGCATCAAAGCTGGTTGGTCGCCAAACTGTGAAAACAGATGCCTTATAGAAAGCCCGAAGCAAAGGACTTACAAGTATTGGGTTGAACTCATCCATGTTGTTCGTGCCAACTTGTGCTACATCATTGAAGAAATGATGAATTTGATACCGAGGATCTGAGCGACGGAATTGGCGTACCCAGTCCTTGATCCGTTGACTCTTGACGAATTCCTTCATCTCCATGGATGCCAATCCAGGCATTGCTTGTAGAGGCAAAGCCCCCCGCATCGCGAAGCTGCTGGTGGCACGCTGATCCTCCAGTAAGTGTCTAAGACTGTTCGTTCCAAAACTGTGAGCTGATGAGGATCTCGGCATTGGTCTGAAGCCAGCTCTTCGATTCCTTGCACTAGAAGTCGAAAGTTCGATTGGTTCGTAGCCATAACCAAGTGATTCCTTGGATTGCCCCATGTCGGTATACTGAAGGGAACGCCGTCGACTTTCTCCAGCGCCAAAATTAGGTCGATCGAAGATCATGGAACCGTCTTTGTCATTATCTACGCCATCAGTCTCACTATCCGGAAGGGCAGCTTGCTCCAGTTGCGATCCCTCCAAGGCAACATGTGATTCTTCCATTCCATTGCTTTTCGGACTTTGTTGACTCCCCAAACTACTTCGCTTCGACAGTGGTGGATTCTCGCTTGACTTCTGGTTATCTGGGTGCTTTTCAAGATGGCTATCCGAAGAGACGACTCCATCTCTATTGAGAAAAGCAGACCTTCGTTTCTTATCTTTTTTCCCTCGAACAATGTGACGAACTGATTTCAAGCCACTCGAGAAAAAGCCTTTCAAACCGGTATTTGTTTTCTTTAATGACAGCATCTTTTTCGTGCGTGATCTCATCATGTACCTCTTGGAGGAAGCTGTGTTGAGCTGTTGTTGACTACTGCCATTGGCTGTTGCTGTTGCTGTTGCTGATCCCTTGCTGTTTACATTGTTGGATAAAATCTCAGGAATATTGTCCACTACAATCTCCACCTTTCCCGGCTGTGCATCTCGAATAATGGCTGCGACTTGCAAGGCAGAATGCGCTTGGACCCCGTTGACAGAGTGAATCCGTATGGGAGGACTTAGCGCTTTCTGAGCTTCCGGAGAAGTGGCCGAATGCAGAACGACACAGTCATTCCGGTTGACAAATTGAATCCCAAGATTTGAATCTACACTTTTCTTTTGGAGGACGACTTCTATGGTTTCATCCATCTTGTTCCGCTTTGTTCAGTTGTGTTCAGTTGTGTTCAGTTGTGTTCAGTTCTCTTCAACCGGTACACGTGCACTATCACTATCTCTATCACTATCACTATGATATCCTGAATATCGTAAAGTCTCAGTTGAGAGTAGACTTCAGAGATGAGACTATGGTGATGATTCCTTCAGCTACAGTTTATGGTACGGTATTGCTGATATGATTCTTCGTATGTTCGTATCACCTTGGTTGCCAGAAGATGACTTGCAAGCTGCCAATAGACCGTATCGGCAAGTGACTTTCATTGGAAGACGGACAGACAGACTGTTTGATTTTTTGTCACTTTTGAACTTTTGACTTTTGACTCTCACTTTTCACTTCTTCTTTTTTCAATATTGGGTATGAAACAGTCCCTATTTTTTGGAGTCTAAAACAGTCCCAATTTCAATTTCAATTTCAAATTCAAATACTGTAAATTGACGTTGAACAATACGAATGTATAAAAAACGAATGACAGCAGCAGGAAAAATAATAACTCTCTTATTGCGAGACGCACCGCTGTCAAGCTTCAAAACGGTTGCAAAATGGTCGTGCCGTATTGCGAAAACGATTCCAGGGAAATCAACAATAGACCTTTAACTCTTTCATCGTTGGAATCGACGAATTTGCTTTCGTCGATGGCGATGGGTCACAATCAAGCTGATGTCTTTGACATTGATTTCAAGCTACCGGTTTCTTCCGAATCTCGTACGGAAATGGGGCGGACTTCGGACTTTGAATCTCGCTTGGAATCGATTCGAGGTCTGAGAGAGAAATCTGAAGCTGATTTCGAAACATCGAGCAGCTGTTGTAGTGCAGTCCAAACGTTGCAAAAGCAAGAGCAAGCTCTGGAAACTCTACTCGATAGTTTTCAAGAAACTTCGCCCAAGAGTATCGAAGTTGACGATAATGATATTGACGAAGAATTTTCATCATTGAAAGATTCGCTTCGACTACTACAGGATGAACTCAGCGCTGTTGACATGATTATTCCACAGCTTGGCTCTGGAAGTTCAGGAATGGAAAATGAGGATAGGATGAGTGTTGGGAACGAACAGGCCAGGATTTCCTCTCCACTTCACGAAAGCCCTGCAGATGATAACTACTTGGACAGTGTTGATGTTATCCGATCAGCTGTACCTTTCGAATCACCAAGCTTTGACGAAAATCATTTAGATATTCTTGAAGGCCGTGCTGGATGTCCGACGTCTTGTACTTCTGGCAAAGTCTCATTGGAGAGTTTCTTTTGGGGAGTAGAAAAAGATTCAACAGCAGGGAGTGGCGCCAATGAGGAGTTACCTCCATTATCACCATGTTCATCCTACTTGGAATGCAATCCCAGCTATCCTTCAAGTTTCCCGAATAGGAGGACACTGCAACCATCAAACGAGAATGAGGGAAAAAGTTTATTGACAAAAGCCACAGGCCATAGCACTGGACTGCAACGTCCCTATGTTGCTACCGGTACCAACACAAAAGCAACATCACCGATCAAGAATGCCAGTATGCGTTTCAACGACAGGACACAACTGGCATATACTTCAACAGTAGCAACAAAAATCGACTCGCACCAAGACCTCATGTCAACTGCTAATCGATGCTCTTCCAAGCTGCAAGAAACACTTGAGCTGAAAAAACAACTAAACCAATCCAGCACTAAAGGGATTCGATCTTATCCGGCAACTTCTGCGAAAATGACAAGGGTCAAATTTGGTCCTGCACATGCTGTTTCCACACTTTCTGGACCATTACTGCCGTCGAGACAACACCTCAGAAGCTTTGATAAACTTGAGGATCAACAACAGCAAGATGATGCAAGGGAAAACAACGCAAGAGGGCTAACGTTCTTCTCAACGGCAAACCAACAAGCGACTAACCCTTTTGATTCCTTCGACAGCAACAGCGAAGACGGAGAAGAAGATCCCGGAACGGGATACAGACCACCAAGTACTTCCCACATGACGGTAGATAGTTCCGTTGCTCCAAGTGGGGATAGATACCTTCCCAACACGAAAGTACAAACGCCTAAAAACCCATCACCACGGTTTAAAAAGGCCATTAAAACAAACATGAATGAAGAGTTGACTCAATTGGGAGTTCAAGTCAACGCAATGGAAAATCTGAATGAAGATGATCCAAATCGCCCGTTGCATAGTATGCTGAACCGCGGACAGCTAAACTTTGATTTCGAATTTGAAACAGGCAATGGCGATGTTCCAAACTCCATGACCTCCTTGGAGCTCAATCCACTCGAAGGGAAAGAAAGAGACACCTACCGCCATTCAACAACAAAACTAACCAGACATCCAGGGAAAACTTCCCTGAATGGCTTCGAGCAGAACATCTCGTCACAAGTATTGCTCGGACCTTCTAATCACCGCGAAGCGCAATCGTCTCGACCATCCCTTTCTGTCCCTTCGCAAAACGAAGAAGTCATACTGGAAGAGACAGACGACAATGACGAGAAAAGTTTCAGCGTTTCCATTCTTGACAACATTGAAAACTGTATCGAACTTGTTTGCGGGGATGTAACTCATCACTCTCCTCTTTCGTGTATACGAGAGCCACTCAAGACGGGAGCTCACAAACCCAGCATGAAACGGGCTCTCGCCACCGGGAAAAACGAGGATGGCCACTCGGGTTTTGCATTCGGGGAGGATGGCAATGGGGTTATAAGTTCCAAGGGGAGCAGATACCGAAAGGCAATGGGGAAGATGCTTTTACCCAAGAAAGAAACTACAGAGAGAAAAACTGTCAGTCGCAGCAAAGAAACATCATTCAACTTCAAAAGCTTCGAGACGGATGTTCAATCCTTTTCAATTTCTGGTTCATGGGACAACCAGGAAACGGGGAAAAGCAAAACTGCAGGCGATTCAGAAAAATCATCAGGGACGACACTTCTTTCAACGATCAGAGTCCAAGAAGAAGTCATTCAGAGAAATTGTCTCCTCTTAGATGCCCTGGTCGCAGCCAACCATGCAAGCTATCGAGTTTTGACAAGCGTTGATCTCTTGGGCGTTGACACATTTGGAAGGATGGTACAAGGAAATAGCATTGTTGATTGCTACCCAAAGGGTACAATACTTAGGAAGGCAACGATGACTTCACCAATAGTCCGTTGCCTTGGGAAAGGAATGGCGACCATTACATATCTCAGAATTGATGAAGTCAGAAATGGAGTCGAGACCAATAGCAAAAAACTAATGGAAACGCGAATGTGGAAAAAGGAAAGACAAGCTTGGGTCAATTGTCAGTTTCATCAAACAATAGTATCGTCGAATTACGGGGAATGATCCACGTTTGGAAGACGCCGTCAAAATTCAACTAGTGTTTCTTGTGATTGATTTGTATTCTTCTATGATTCTCTGTGCACTCACTCTTCATTCTAGCTTTCTACCACGCCTTTTTTGTTTTTGGCGGCAACATCGTTTGCCCATTTGATAGAGAATAGAGACTATGTACAGTGTAGCAGAAGTACCATGAAGTGCCGCAATCGTTGAACAGGAAAGTCCACTCCCTGATAAAGTACAGTAGTTGGACCCCAACTCAACACTTTTAGCGCGTGACACAAAGCCAACGCATTTTTTGCAGTTTTTGCATCTTCAATACAAGTTTGCCATCATTCGATTGTTCCCATTTGCTTTCTTTTGGGACAATGTGCTGAAACAAAGGGGCATTCAATATGACGTTATCTTCGTGCTGAATGTGAATTGAATCGTGCTGGAGGTCACATCTCACTTTCCCGGTGCACCCGGTCACTTTAATGACAATCTTATCCCCCGCATCTTTCCATTCATACAAACCGTCAACATCATTGAATTCGGCTTCCTCAGTTGCATCAATTCCTATAGCCCTTTTCGCGCGTTCCAAAATAGACTGTTTCTGAGTCATCTCAAACATTTCTTTCTTTTGGGCTGCTGTCAAGCCCTCTAGCATCGCTGGGGGCATTCCGAGAAGTTTCAGATGTTTGATCATTTCGTCCTCTCCAGAAAACACCGGGGAATCAACGGAATCTTTAGCTGGATCTAGACTTCTCAAGTTCGTTGCTTTGATCATTTTCAGTTCAGAATCCCCTGACAGGCTTATTCCGTATCGCTCACTTTGATTGCTGTAGTGATCCACAACACCTTCAAGGCCATTCAAAAGTTTCCCAGCCTCACTTTCCAAGCCTTCAATTTTCACTCTAGATCCTGCTTTCATTGTTTGCTTACCGTAGTGATGCACAACACCTTCAAGGCCATTCAAATTTCCCAGCCTCTCTTTCAATTTTGACCGACTATGACTCAACTGTAGATGATCAATAATGCTGCTAATAAGAGTGAGGAGTGAGTATACAGTATGGTTTTGCAAAACTGGTCGAACTAATCGAATCAATCGAATGCACGAACAAACCATCTCGCATATTATTTTAATACTGCAAGACGGGGTAATTTTCATAAATAGGGGCAAGGGGACAGACGGGGTGTCATCGCTTCTCAAGCGGGTTGCATGGCCAAACAAATTGTTACAAAAAATAACGGTCATGTCACCTGCATGAAATGTAAAAAGCTCGCCCGAATTTGGATACGATTCAAAGCGGCTACGCAGGCACTGCATCCTCGTCGCCCGGTGATGTGGAATCTGGAATCCACGAATGCGCAATTCTATTTCTCCATGATGGAGAAAAAAAAACTTTATTTCTCCATGATGGAGAAAAAAACTTTCTATTTCTCCATTCGGAAGTTGGAGCCAAAAGGTTCATCAGGGGAAACAAAACATTGGGGGACCAACGGGTGGTTGCCAATATTTTTGCAGGATACGGTACAAACAAGCCTGCTCGCGATCAAATACAAGAGTTTGGTGCTATACTGTAGGAGCAGGGCGCCCCGACAACTACTTTCGCACAGCCACAAACAAAACTGTTTAGCGATGGAAGCTACAACAATCAACTAATAGTTACCTTGAAGGTGCTACTGATTCGTGATGGAGTATGAAGGCAGTGTGCGAGCCCAAGGTGGAAGAAGACTTTTTCCGAAATGTCAATTCTCATTATGATTGATTACGTTTGGGGAAGACTTGGGGGTGTCGTTTCTCCACCGGAAGCTGTTTTCTCCACCGGAAGCTGTTTTCTCCACCGTGGAGAAAAAAAAAATCTATTTCTCCACCGTGGAGAAAAAATAATTATATTTCTCCACCGGAAGCTAATATGGCAACAAAGGTTTCACACTGCGATCATTCATCCGTTGACGATCGCTGGGTATACTGGCGGGCGTGTTTTCGCGAGGTCTATTTTGGCAAATAGCATAGCAAGAACTTAATGGCTGGACGAGCATTCCAAGCGGGAATCGACTAGAGATCCCGCTCACAGAAGTAGCCCCCGTCCGTCCGGATATCACAAATATCTGAAAATTACCCCGTCTTGCTGTATGTACTGTAGGTTAGGTACCGTCCCGTGACAAAGCAGCATCATGCTGTACTCCACGCTCGTTTCTGAGACAAAGATAGGTTTCCCAAAATAGAGCCATGATGAGTTCTCGTGGAGATTTACTATCGACTGCTTTCGCGGTTGGATCGCTCTCAGGTCTCTTTCTGTACAAACAACGGGCTCGGCAGCATCAAGGATTCGCAGGTCAAGAAACAGGGAAGGCTCAGGAAGATGCTCGATCAGATGCGAATTCATCGCTACAATGGGATCGCAATCGTTGGGATTCGATTGTAGAAGCATTTGCGAGACGATTGCTTCAATCTCAGAAGCTAGAGGTCGATTGGCCACTGCTTGCAGTTGGTGACATCTGTCAGTAACTCATAGAGTGGCTAGATGAACATGATGAATGATGTGATGTATGAGGACATACGGACAGACGATCTAGTAAGTCGTAAGACGACTAACTCGATCCTGACCTCCTCTTCGTCTGTAGCTTATGGACGAAGACATCACCCGATCTACCTCCTCTCAAGCATGGCACTATGCCAATACTAAAGAATACAGGCACGTATTTACAACTAGTCTAAAGCTAAGTAAGAGGAACGTGATCGATGTACCTATCATGTGTTGAGGTGGTTGCACGTGGACTAGCTGGCTAAAGCATAGTTCGACTGAGAATGGCACTCAATTTGACGCCTCCCAACGCTTTAGTACAAATGTCAGCCCAATTTTCACTGGTATCACACCAAATGGGGTTGACAATTTGTGCAGCAACGGCCTCACGGACACAATGGTAGGAAATCGCAACATGTTTCTTCTTGAGATCCGCTTCAGGAATGCTAGCGGTTTGGATCACTCCGAGGTTGTCTCCAATTAGATTGGTAGGTTCCTCAACGGGGACGCCCAGTGACCGTAACATGTACCTGAGGGACATGGCCTCCTCTACTGCAGCGCGCATGGCGATAAACTCCGAGCAATACGTGCTTGAAGCAATGCAGCCCTGACGTTTAGAAGTCCATGAAACGAGAGTGCTTCCGACATACACGAGCAGACCAGTGATAGAGCGACGAGTCTGCAAATCGTGGGCCAAATTGGCGTCAAAGAACACACTTGTTTGTACCGGTTTCCCATAAGCTTTTGGTTCCTTGGGGTCTCGATCTTCTTTGGCATCCGGATATTCTTTTAGAAAATCGGGGATAAAATCACCCTTCTTGTCAAGTAGAGTAGGATGGATTTCAAGGGGATCGGAGCAGACAGGAAGTTGCTTGCTGGGAAAACGTTTCAGGTATCCAAAAAGATAAAAAGCTAATTCCAGGTGTCCTTGGCGAGGAGCAGCAGAAAAACGACTTAACGAGGCAACTGCATAAGCAATGTCCATACGTCCGATCGTGACGGCCCACTGGGCCATGCCCACCAACATCTGATATTGGCGTTTTCCGGCATCGTCAAGGAAATCTGAAGTATCCGTTTCAGGATGAGAAGCTGGTCCTTCAGATGGTGCAGGAGTGTAATGAACACAGAGCTGGGATCCGTTAGGTAGTAACGCTTGGATCCGGCGAATGCATTCTTCCACATAGGTCTTGGAACCTGTCAACCAAACCTTATTTGCATCATCGAAGTAATAATCCATACCAAGGTAGTAGTCTGGCGCACCGGAGCATTTCAATTGAAAGGCACCAGCAATAGCATTGACCCACCGTTGAGGATCCTTGGCTACAACTTTGAAGTCGTCGACATGAGTGCAAAGATAATCGTACCCAGATTTGTCTTCACGTAGTCTCATCCAGACGTCACGGTCGTACCGAGTAGGTTCGAAACCAATTGTACGCATAAACGCAGCAAATTTTTCCCTGTAGGCCCTTGAGCTAGATCTTAAGCCATAGAGGGCCTTGTTGATAGTAACAACAGCGCCTTCGCGCTCTCCAAACTCGGGACCAGCAGTAGAATGTATCTCCTCTAGACATTTGGCAGTAATGAAAGCATTGCCAACATCTCCATGGAGGATAGTCAAACCATCACGGTGGGCAATCATGTCAAGTAATCTGACACTAACACCCTTCACAACGGTAGACTTAGTCGAGATCCCTCGGGGGTCCACGAGGTGACCTCCGCAAACCAATCTTCCTTTGCGTCGTCCATCTTGCTTGGCTTCAAAAATCATTCGCAAAGGAGCAAACTGAGAGTTTGGGCCAGGCTTGTAATCAGACGGGTGAAAGGTAAAGCAATTCATTGCGATGAGAGAGGCAATCTCTTTCTCCATTGCCTCTCTCCAAAGGTGGTTTCCGTTTTCGTCATCAATGGCAAGCGCTTGTCTAACGGTCCGCGGAATCGGAATACCATACTTGACAGGAAGAGGTCGTCGGAGACGTCCAGGCTTCTTGGCACGTCGATTCTGGCGGGGGGTGGACTTCTTGAAACGCTTGGTGTATTGAATCTGGTAGCTGTCGTCTTCTTCAGGACAGCAAAATACTTGGCCTTCCTTCATAGGCTTGGAATAACCATAGTATTTTACAAATCGACGCATGACACGTCGAGTCTTTTTCAAGAACGTTCGTGCCCAACGTTGGTGTGGTCCATTCTTGTGGTTACCGGAGCAGGACCCAATCTTGTTGGCACAGATGTACTTGGCAGTCTCATAGGGAAAATCTTCACGACAAGCGCGATAAGTTACCCAAGAGGTTTCATCAGTCTTCCAGAGAATGCGGAGAAACAGGACGCCCTTACGAAATTCATGCCCATTAACCGAATCAAAGAGGTCTTCATCATCCGAAATACCAGCTATGTTTTGGAGATGAACGTCAAGCGACTCCGGTGTCACATGGTGATCATCGAGGTCTCCATCGGCAGAATGAACCGAGTCATCACCAGCTGATTGAACCGAAGCATCATCATCTGATTCTGAGGCATGTTCACCTTGATCTGTCACTTGGGTGTGTTCCTCTTGTGTTACCGGCGCTGGACACTGAGCCGGTTTGCTCGGTCCATCAGTTGTTGCTTCGACAGTGGCAGCAGGCACAGCTGCTGCAATCTCTTGATCCCTTGGTGGCTGAATCGTAGGTTCTGCTTGTTCTCTCGGTAGTTTGGAAGCAGAGTTTGTTACGGTCTTAACAGAGAGAGGCTGGAGCTCCTCCAGATCAGTTCGTAACAAAGCATCATCGGACGTAGGGTCGGTACGAAGTCGTTTCGAAGGAGGTGGTCCATATACTTCTTCGATAGCTCTTTCATACTCCTCTACGGTGTCCAAGGGTTCGGGCTCCTCTTGGATGGTCAATAGTGGATTTGGCGCCCTTTCAGAAAGTTGAGGCGGAAAATCAGGATCAGCTATGCCCTCCAAGATGGTGCGTTCATCCTTCTTGTAAATTTCGAACTTTGTCTTCCCCTTTCGGACCACAACAGGTGCGGCCTCGCGAACATGCCGCGGGCGGATGACGGAGCGGGTAAAGATCCGACGTGGTTCTTTGTCAGAATCAGGATCAGTGACTATCACATATGTAAAATCATCACCAGAGTCAAGACTGAATCCCAGGAACCTCGCTTTCATCATCCTCTGTCTTGGAAACGCTCCCCTCGGAGTGTAAAACCATACAGGTTGCCAGAAAGAGAATCTGCATTTGCTTATATCCGGAACACCTCCAAATTGAAATTCCCAAGGGGTTCGGAAGCGTAGCGATCTCTTGGAGGTTCTTGCTTTCACAAAAGCAACGTATTCGACACAGTAACACCAATACTCGGGAGGAGCACCAGTAGTCAACAGAATGTGTTGGACTACATGTTTCAGCCTTCCACCTCTTGGCTCAGCAAGGTTCTGATTTGGGTGGTGTGGTTCAGTGTACTTGGAGGACACTTGGTACTTTCGGAGTTTGCGATGGAACTGTGT